AAGGTAAAAGGATCGATAAAGCCACTAAATTCAACGGTCTGTAGCAACATCACTTTCAATACTCAGCACAGTCATTCAGTCGTTCCTGCTTTATGTTAAACCCTTTGACGTCATGCTAAATTGCGCTAAATTGCAATTTGTGATATCTTCAGGTACACGAGATAAGCAGCGCTGATTTTTTTTGCTTCATAGTCAGAATAAGCTGATTTTTTGCGTGACCTATGACACTTCTATATATGTATGTCTTGCCCCCACCCCCCTATCGCTTGGGATATCTAAAATCATTTGTTGGTCTTTTCCTAGGACCAGCATACACTCTCTTTTTTAAGAACCAGAAAGTTTAAGTTCAGGCTGACTGTTCTTAATTTTTTCAAAAATTTTTGCTGGATTGTTTTTAATTTTTTTGCTAAATTAATAGGGTGTAAGCAGTGTGACTGCCAGCTTTTTCGTCGCTCTAGGGAGGTGTTCAAGCCTCATTTGCCAACAAAGTGAGCGAGACAACCTTCATTTGCCGAAAAAGCACCCACATGTGACTAAAAATGTTTTTGAGGTAAACGTTGCTCAAAATTGCATGTTTAGTAGCTCAGCCTAAGCTTGTTTTTAATTTGATCTTAACTTTTGACCAATTTTAAGCCCGTGTTCTTATAAAAATGAATTCTTGTCTGTTCTTTATACCTTATCGCCCCAGTGGTCTGCAGGTATTTTTTCTTCAGTCAGTTTTTCTGAGTCTTCCTAGCAGATTCTTTATATCTTCCATCAGATATTTGAAGAAGTCATCAAATTGGAGTTATTGTCATTTGGGTTGTCCCTTCAAGGCAACAATGACATTCTCAAAAGCAGTCGCTTTGGCTAGCAGTTGGGCTGAGAAGAGAATAAGACAGTTAATAAGACCGCAAAGATATTAAACCCAAACATCCTCAGCAGTTAAGATCAACGCACGAGCAAATGTCCCCCAAAAATTTCAAATGTCGGCAGCCTGAGATTTGTGAGATCTGCTCATACATGCTAAAGCTCTATATAGCTGAATTTCTTTAAAAACGAGGGTATCTCATTGTGGAGAAACATTTCTCTTTGTGTGAAGTTAAAAACGGAAAATATTTCTAACAAGAAACGTTAATAAATTGTTTGTTCTGGCACACATTTTTGAAATTATCCATCTGTTATGTGGAGTGTAGAGTCAATATGTAACACTATTTAGGTTGATTGCCAAGTTTTTGCCAACAAATGGTTGAGTCATTGCCCTTTTTTCGAGCTTTGCTCACTGCCCTAAGAGCTGGCATGAATATAATCTGGTCAATTTGAACACTGTGTAAAAAAACAAGGAATTCAACTGCGTTTTCAATATCCAAATCGTCGCCATGTTACATATATTTCACATAGAGGTGGCACCAGAAATCTTCCCACAGAGGGGATAGAGCTTCCGATAGGGGTGCTAAAATGACTCAAATAAGCAGTTTTCGTACGTTATTTTGTCAAATTTGCTCCGACAATAATCTAAATTTTCCTCCGATGGGGGGGGGCTAGATGCTTTCGACGGAGGGGCTGTAGCCCCCCTAGCCCTCTCTTGGCGCCACCACTTATTTCACAATCTGCCTGATTGAAGCGAGATTATAGAACTACTTTTCAATTTAATTCGCTGCGGCAGGAATGCGGCGTATGAACTGGACCTAAATCTACGAAAATGCTACCACTTTCTGATTATTTGAAAAATATTAGAGGAATAGGCATTATTTGCTGATTGCATTATTTTTTATTTTTTTCGGTCGTAGTGAGTCTGGTTAAGTGAGTCTCATACCCAGGGTACTACAATCTGTACCTGCTTGGTGAAGTTTTGTATAATTTTGATTGCTGACATAATATTTTACTCGTTGAACCTGAAAATTTTATGATGCTGCAAGCATTTGATAAAGACTCTTAAGAAAAAGTCAATCTTTAAACTATGTCAAACATTAGTATTTATAGATATCTAAGCCTTATCTGTGCCATATATCTCTCTGCGATCAAACCATATCTCTTTGTAAAATCAGTGGAATTATTTGGGGATAGTCGAGTCTTTTCTGTCCCCAGGCTGATTAGGTTAGTAGAGTTTTCGATCTATGTTCTGACATTTTAAACTCTGATGAATTAGTTAAAGCTTTAGTAAACTCAAGTATTTGCTTTTTTCGAAGTCATTTTCAAGTTTCGTACCACCAAAAGATTCTTTATTACACTATATTTTTCTAAAGAATGAGCAATATACTTACTCGTTGTACAACTTGGACAAAATGACCGATTTTTTCGATCCCTTTTTCACTTTCATGTATGGCTTCTATTGTTAAAGACATCGTCACCAAGCTAAAGGTAAGGGCATACCGTAAAGCTCTATTAAGTCCCCTTTCTTTTAGACCTCCCTCTCTATTAAGCTTCTATCAAGCAAAAATTTATCAAGCTATTATGCTCCCCACTAAAGCCCCGATGTCAAACAAAGATGCAGGGGGGGGGGGTCTACGGCGTAGGCTAGATGACGATAAGATTGTGTGCATTAAAAAATACGGAATACGGCCCTTGTAAATATATACTTGTCCGCCCTAGAAGTCAATCGAACTTTGTTTAGAAATGTCCCAGTTGATTTAGTAGTATATTTCTTGATATGAATGAAGGTAAACAAACTAAGCGTTAATGATTTGAAGATTTCTTGTTGTCACTAAATCCAAAAATTGTGCCTTGTGTCTGTTTGTATGTATGTATGTACATGTATGATAATTTTTAATGTGAATTACAAACTAAGTTTGAAAACTTTTTTCCAGTTTGGTTCACAAATTAAAAGTACAAATAATCTAAATTCAACCAATAAAGAAATAAAAATTAGTAAAAGCCTTGTACAAAATTCAAATAATGTGTTCTAAACCAATAATGTTAGTTAGAAATGCTATTTTAAAATCCACGCACTTCCCGTAAATTTTCTCGATAGAAGCCTCAACTGCCATTCACATTGAGCTCCACATTTTTTTAAAGGATAAAATAATTTTGAATAGGATTAGGAGCAGGGGCGTCACGGCCAGAGGGTGTGGGGGGTGTCACACCCCCCTCAATAGTATCTCAATATGAAATTTCAGGTAAAATCCGCTCGGTGGTAGAAACGCTTTAGGTATTTTAGAGACCTTCATGTCATAAAATCAATTAAGGATCAAGCAAAGGTAGTTGCTTCGTTGGTTAAATATTATATTCTTTGATATGAATGAAGGTAAACAAACTAATGATTTGAATATTTGAAGATTTCTTGTTGGCACTTAATCGAAAAATCCAGGCCCTCTTTAGGTAAAATTGTGTCTTGTGTCCATTTCCTCTAAAGTTTCTCAGTAGAAGCCTCAACTGCAATTCACTATGAGCTCCAGATTTTTTTTAACATTCAAAAGGCATGCTAAGATGGAAAGAGGGATCTAAATTGCCAACCAGTGCTGCTTGTTACCTAGCTTCAGAAGTAACTGACAACATGGTGTTTCTCAAGACCACGGCGAAACTGTACCAGTTGTTTTTATCTGCTGTTCAATTTGTTTGCAAAAAAAATTATTTTCAATAGGAGTAGGAGGATTGCTTTAGTGAAATTTGCTTAAAATAGTGCATTTTCCAGGGAACTGGAAGCATCAAAATTCGAAAAATTTTCTGCTCCTTCGGCGGCAACCAAGGTGCCGCCTCGGGTAGTTTTAGTAAAATTTTCTCAAAAGAGTACATTTTCCAACGAGCGAATTCTGAGGGTGGGGGAGGGGGCATTGTCACACTCTTTTATCCAGTCGGAAAATTTGAAGATAGCCGGAAAAATTAAAACTGTTGGTAGGAAGCTAGTTTAATCGGAAAAATTTGAATCATTCGTTAAAACTGGAGTTTTGACTCAAATGACCTTGTAAACTGTAGCTCGAAGAGAAGCATAAGAAAAGTATTAGTCCATAAGAAAATAGTTGTTTGGTGAAGGCAGCCCTAAAAAGAATGAGAGGCGACCCAATACAGAAAAACGAAGTTAGGTATGAAAATGCAAGTACTTTCAACTACATTCGTCGTGATGGGGATAATGTATTAATCATTCCATCAAATTGCTTCTAAAAACGGGATGTGAAATATAGATTATGTTTGACAGAATTTCATATCCCGTTTTGGACAACGTAAGTTTAGATAAGAATTAAGAAAGTGGAGCAATGGGCAAGTCGAAGAAGGAGAAAAATTAACATCTCATTTTTGGACTACGCATGTTTTGATACACTAATTAAATCTACAGTCTTTATGCTCGATCTTTCAAATTTACGAAATCTAGAAACTTTATCATACAGCTGAATAATTATTTAGGAGACAATTTTCAAGGTTTTTTTTGGTAAAAAAACTATTAAAGTTTAGGCCCTCATTCACTATTAGAATTGACATTTGTCAGTCGAAAATTTTGAGCCCTTAGAAATATCTGCAAATTTACGTCCCTGTCGGGTAGTAGCAATACCCTTTGCCCGTCTGATATACAGATTTGACAAAACAGTTAGGAAAGTCCGTTATTATCATATAAGAAAGGAAGTTGTGAAAAGTATGCCACAGAGTTAGATTGACAAAATTTATTGCACAGATTTGTGTCAGCAACTAAAGAATTTCAGGTAATTATTTTTTAATCAGGTAAATTTGTAGTCCCCCCAACAAGGGCGAGTCGCGACGGGCTGGTCAGCTGGCCTAAGTTTGTTTGCAGCCCCATGTATATACAGACACGACTATTAATAGAATAAGCAAGGTTTATAAAAGCTTTGATTGGGATTAAGCTCTCCATTTTAAACAAAGAATGGCCTGCCTATAGTTTTGCTAGAAAGTAGTTGACGCGTTCCTTCAAGTGCTTGCCAAGGTCCCTGTGGGAACAAAAAGTTCTTCAACTCGATTCAATTGAGAGGTTTTAAATGAATTGTTTTATTGTTAAATTTTCTATTGTTCTTATGATAGATGCCAATCAACTCCATTCAAATTCAAATCAGACCCACGCTTGACGGGTTTTCCCTAGGCGCGATCAAAAATTTCTTTCGATCACGGCGACTCAGCCTAGATGGCTGCAAATTGTTATGGACAATCAATTTCTTTTTTTCGTTCCTTTGATATTCGCTGTTGTGGTCAAAGGCTATGAACGAAATACTTTGATGCGAACATACTGCAGAGCATCTTGCATCGAAAAGGTTTGTGCTTACAAAGTTCTGTGCTCATGGCGAAGACCTACCGGCCTTTGTTGTGCAAATTCGTCGTTGTCAGACACTATGGCTTTCATTTAACGTACGATCAAACAAGTACTGGTAAATTAATAGCTAATGGAGTAACCAAAGTATTCTTTCATCCGTCTTTTTGTAAGATTTATTTTCCTGTTGCTGAACTGAAAACATATCAGTTAAACTGCTTTCCACAACAAGAGGGGCTGCCCCCAGAACAAAGAAAGTCTTCTACCCGCTGCAAAATTCCTCATTTCGCTCGGTAATTCAAAAACCCGTGCGTGATTTGTAGTTCGCGTTTGGTTAGAAAAAGAAACTCGATGAACACAAAAGTCTTTCCCGTGCACAAGTTTGTTTCTAGAAATATTTGATAATTGAAGATTTCCAAGCCCCGAAAATAGCAGCACGTGTAAATGGAGGAAGTTATTCTTGACACAGCCCATGTTGGTTGAATTATTCCATTCTCAAAATAAGGCCATTTATTACAAGCAATCCCTCCACACATCTTTATTTAAGCACGCTTTTTTAGGCTCCTATTGGCAAAGACGACAGTCGTGGGTGAATATCCACAACTGTAAACGCATTTTGTCAAAGACGATATTTGTTTTTGTGGGTGTGTGATGGGAATTGCCTCCGTATCAAATTGCACCTATCAATATTTTTCAGCGAGTCAGCTGTGACATAGCAACCATGCCCGTTTTTAATAAAAACCAGAAAAAGAAAGGCCTGTTCGGATAACGAAAGAGCGAAATTGATGGTGGTTTTTGTTGAAGTTGCGTTCGCCCTCTGATCGCTAATCTTTTCTTGTTTGTTGACTGTCTGCATTTTTATTATTTTACCAGCGTGTTTGATCAAATATATCTTCGATCTGTTTACCAAACTAACGATATTTTTTACTTTCTCTTCCATGAAATTCTTGGTGCCTGTTTGTTGAAAATGAAAACATTTGTTCCATGCAATTTGTTTCACGAAAACCAGCACGAAATTCCAAGCGTAAGTATAAATATCAAAATTTTGTAGAAAGAACATCGCGTATACTAACTTTTTTAAGAGCGATTTTATCATACTTCGGACTTAAGTGCCCTTGCCTGTTGCAACTTTGTGAACGGAGAAGTTTTTAACTATTTTTAGTTTCAAAACTCGTTCTAATCAATATTTATACATAGCGAAGCGGACCTTCGCAAGTGACAAAGGGTAGAAATGCTCGCAGGGTTTATTCAGTTAGCTTGCAGTAAAATTTCATTAAAAGCTGCAGCTATAGGTAAGAGTTTGAAACCTTGCATTGATGAAATTTTTAAAATAAGAGTGCCACAAAGTTATTGTGATTAATACTGCTTTTATTTTCTCATTCTTTGACCCACAATCATAAAACAAATTGAACGTTGGGCTCCCAGATTTTGTCATCGTTTTACCAGGCATCGAACCAATGTTGCTCTTTCTATCAAACACTTCCTTTATGTATTTTGTTTATTTACAAATTAGAGTTTTTGTTAAAGTATAACTTTGGATGCCCTATCAAGCAATTGGTCAATTTATGCTGTGTCTACATCAATTCTTTCGACCTAGGTCTTAACCTAGGTTGAACCCACTTTCGTTTTCACTGCACTGACACCAAAGTTTAGTGTAAACACAAAGTTGTGTTGGCTCTGGTTTAGTGTTGTCACACACGGGTTTTTTGTGAATTGCGCACATTGGCTTCTTTGAAAATGGCAGGGGGCAATGATGAGAATTTATTGTGAGGAATAAACTTTTCACAGCAATTTTCCATTTTGTCTGCCCATAAACAGGCCTGTAATTAATTCAATTAATTCAGTTTGTCATGACCCCACAGTGTCCCTCTTTCAATCTTTGCTTCACTCATTTACAAAGTAATTTGCTTTTAATTGAAAGAGCTGTCCCTCTTAGTCAGTCCTAGATAACATTGCATTTCGAAGATCTCAACCTGGGTTCAACCCCCCTCCAGCTTATAGTTGGCTTTAGGTTCAACCCAGGCTAGCTGTGTTGACACAGCAAAATTTCTGACCAAGGTTAACATTAACTCGGTTTCAACCCAGGTTCAACCCAAGTTGAAAGTTGTAATGTTAACAGGGCTTTACGATCTGCAGAAATGCTGTGAAAAATTGACAAACTGTAGTAGCAAGCCTCATTGTAACCAAAAATGGCTTACAGCTTCTACAATGCCTATATGCTAGCAGGGCCCCACAATCTTTGTTTGTAACTTTTCTTTACCCTAATCTATAGAAGAACAGCCAATCCAGAAGTGCTTTGTAAGATACCAGGCAATATGGTGCAAACTCAACATCATACACATAGGGTTTCCAACTAACCAACTTGTCTCCTCTAAGTGGAACTTTAAATGTGTAAAGTTGTTTGTTTTAGAAATGCTTAATATGTAGAGTGATAGGAGGTTTTTTTATCACATCCCCAAACTTTGACATGTGTTCAAACATTTTGCTTTGATATTATTTATATTTAAGGCATAGGTCACTGTTTATCTAAATTTTCAAACCCTGTGCCATTATTGTTTTCAATAAACAAAGAACTTTTCTTATGTTGCTCACCCTTGGATATTTGAATTAACAAAATTTTCTAGCAGAATAAATATAAAAAAATGTGATGTTGAAGCACCTTGTCATACATTTATGATATATACTCATCTAATATTTAAATTATATCTAATACTATATATTTATATATATTCATAATTTCATGAAAATGAAAGCAACTGTCATTAAGTGCTTGATGCTGTAAGCGTATATTCTTATGTTTTATAGAACCAGGCAGTTCTAATTTGGTACTCTTGAGTTTCACACTTAATTTAGTCATCAGGCAACTCCATCAGGGCTCCCTGTTTCATGAAATCATCTGGCAATTGTTTAATTATAGAGAAGGTGCCATAGGGAAGGCGAGCAAGAAAGTTTTAAGGTTGAATCTAAACTTTGAGACATGGTCTACCAAAGATACAGGTCTCTCATAAAAGCTAGTCGCTGAAGGGATTAATTTTTCTTTTGTCTGCTGGTACTATCTTATTAAAGTTTGAATCCTATGGATGAATTCTTACTGTAAAGATACCTCAACTACAATCACCTTTCAACTTTTTAATTCTCTAAGTTGCAAGGAAATCCAATCACCGTATTTTGTGAATGATGAGATCTCTCGCCGCTATTTCAGCCCACCTTCCATGATAAGCTGTGCTCAACAATGCCTTGTGTTCAATTAGCATTATACTTTATTTCTGACTTTCTACCCACTTTATGTATCCAAATTTAAGATTTCCTTGAGTTCATTTTGTAAATGCAATATTGAAAGAACACTTTTTGATTGGTCACAGAAATGGTGCTAAGTAAGCAAGCAAGATTTTTCAAGCAAGTTAGGGTTCTGCAAGCTTGTGACTGATGGAAACCTGTGGCTTATGCCCTAGATTGATATTCTAGAATAAATACTGTGGGTATTGGGTTATGGACCTTGGATGGACAGATGTGTCATCTGTAGGCTTGTGCAAAGCAACCCTGGTGGGGCTGAATTCCAACAAAATTCAGCTCCTTAGGCAAACTCTTTGATCCTTCCCCAATTATATCAATTGGTTTTTATTCATCTTAATCTTGGAGTATTTATTGTGGTACCACACCATGTGCAAATTGCATTCATTTCATGTGAATTATTTGGTACTAATTGCACAATTATGTGTTTCCTTGATGTATGTCCTGTTTATTTATTTGTTGATTCACTAAAACAAATACCACCTAAAATGTGACTGATTTTAAACCTATATGAGAAAAAACAAGGAGTTTCCAGGCAGAAATCACCTAGAGTTTTGAGATGCTTGAGGTAGGGTAATTAGCTGCAAAAAATGACATTGTTTCGCAAGAGACATTTTGAGAGCCTCCTTTTGCATTTGAAGGTTTTTTAAGTACTTGATTATTTCATTCTTGTTTGTCTTTTAGCATCTGTGATGCGCAAAAAATATTGGCAAAATATTCTCTAAATACAAATCTTTGTGAGATATTTTATGAAAATTAAATATAATGGAAAATTTAATATTCTGGCTTAACCTTCTACAGAGCAAGTATATAGTAAGTTATTGAGTTTGAATATCACAAGCTTGCTATCAGTACAATTACTGTGGCCAAGTTGCAATACATTTTGTGTGATTGAATTTTTAGTGTCTATGCAGCAGCGCAAGCATCTTTGAAAAAAGAATATTTAGAAAAATGTTTGATCTTGGTGCTTTCATTCAAGCAGATTTGCGTCATCTGCATCAATTTATGATTTAATGAAACTGATCCATGAATATAATAGTGAAAACTTTAAAAAAATGTTGAAATTATCTAGCTTGCAAAAAATTGAACATTTTTATAAAAAAAGGATGATCTATTCCAGACGGATCATATCAACAACAAATATTTCTTTTCTTTTTATTTGCCCGTTCTTTTGTTAATTATCATTTTTCAGCCTTAAGACGCCTGATACAGGTGTCTGTATTGTCGTTTCAGCAAACGCATGTAAAAACATCGTTCTTGATAACAAAAACGATAAGCTGCCGATCATCAGGCCTTAGACAAAAGCACGAGGAAATAAACAAGCTTATAAATGTCCATTTCTAAGTGAAATTTTTCGATTTAAGCGCAATATGCCATGCCCTCTGCAAATAATTTTTAGATGTGGAATAGAGGGTGAATTGGCCATAATTTTAGAGTGAAATTTTTACAACCAGGTCCACTTGCTATTTCCCACTTTCCACTTGGCCCGCATCAGAAAAAGTGTTGGGCCCGCATCATAAAAAGGGGCCCAACACTTTTTCTGAAATTATATATGGTGGCACAGGGTTTGTCTTACATGAGTTTCTTAATACTACGTATCAAATGTTGCCGAAAAGAATTGTCTCTAAAAAGTGGGAGAGGTATGGAAAATCGTGTTCAGAATGATTCATTGGATGATCAGTCCCAATTAACTCAAAAATGAGGGTTGATATGATGTAATGTTCCTAGCTAGGGAATTTTTAGAGGAAGATTTTACAGACAAGACAACTGCATCTTCGTTGGTAACTACTTAACTGGATATCATTAAAAAATTTAAAAAATGGATTCATCGTAAATACTAATGCTGTAGACATGACCGTGTGTAGTAGGCTGGGCCAAAGGGGCATTTACCCCCCAGAAATTTTGAACGCTGGCTTTATACTGTATCATAATCTGCTTCCAAGCAGAAGGGCCGCACACCAGATTTAAAAAAGTCCAAATTACAACCAACTTGTGCTTTAACAGGTTTTTGGAACCAAGCTGTCACTGGGGAATGCGCAACCTTAACTTGTACAATTATCAAAAATTGATATGGATGATTCCATTTTATACGCCCTAACTTAATGAAAGAAAAGAGGGATGCTCTTCACAATCAATTACATCTATCCCAGGGGGGGGGGCACTCAGCACATAGACATACGAGGGGTAGGTCCGATATTTTTGGGTCAAATGTTTACCCAAAGTGATATTTTTGGGTTAAATATTTATGAAAAATGATATCTTTGGGTCCTCCAAAAACAATAGAAACAATTCTGATATTTCTAGGTATCAAACTGAGAAACACTGATATTTTTGGGGTTTTGTGAGATTTCCATATCTGAATCAAATGTATTGTTCATCGGCTGAAGTTTTTTTACCCGTTGCAAGTCATGTGACCATACTCTCTGGAAGTTTTAATGATCTTTTCTGAAATTACAATTTGTGATATTTTTGGGCATAAGATATAACTAGATCTGACATTTTTGGGTCTTTTGAAAATGAGCTGATATTTTTGGGTGGCCTATAAAATTCTTGGATTGACCCCCCCCCCCCTCGTATGTCTATGTGCTGAGTGCCCCCCCCGGGACATCTATCAAGTAATGTAAAATTATCAAATGTCTTTGCCAAAAATATATACAATTTACAACCTCTTACATTATCATTTAATGAATGGAATAGAAAGAGCAGAGTTTTTGCAATCATGCCCTCTTGCTTCAAAAGTGTATAAGCAAAACATAGTGTATACAAGGCTTTGAGAGTACTAAAAACAACACCTTGTTATGAGAAAACATCGAAAACGTGGACGTTATTCGAGACACTTTTGATTGTATTAGGAATATGGCCAAGATTTTATAGGAAAGGACCAAGGGGAGAGAAACATTTAAAATCTTTGCAGCAGGAGAAAGTGCCCAATCTGCTAACAGATAAAGTGGATAAATAGGATGATAACGATGATGTGATCGACGAAAATATTGAAATAGATTGAAATAATTGAAATTGTTTTTTCAATAATGTTCGGACTTTCTTAGTTTCTACAAAAAATGTTCGGACTTTCAAACTTGCTGGTAAGGAGGCCCCGTCTATCCTTGTTGCTTCTGTTATTTCCTTTTTCAATGACAGCGCCTCGGGGGATGATTGGTGGGACATATCCTCCCAGGCCCCCACAGGATCTTTTTCGTAATTCGTTAAAATCTGACGAGAAATTGTTGTAGGAGGGCTAATACTTTGGCCATGTAACTCGTGATGTGTTTTGATAACTCTTAGGCTGCCGCTACATTGCTAAAATTTAGTTATAGGCGCTCCATCATGGTAGCACAGGCGTGAATGGTTGGTGGTACCACTAACAAGTTAAGTCAAAGCTCAATTATTGACGGTTCCTTTCCTTGTCTTTCCTTGTCTTTCCTTTCTTTTCCTTTCTTTTCATCTTTTTAACTGCCCCCAGGCAACAAGCGGTTTGAAATCGGGCGTGAAGGAAGAGATCATTCGTTTACTCGCGAATTGTTATTATTAAGTGGAAAAGGAAAATCTCTTCAATGGCAGAATTCGTTCTTTTATTTTTGTAACTTGCGTTATGCTTTGATCATTTTGCACGTTTCTTTGAAACCGCCATTATCTTATCATTATCCGAGCTGGCTCTTATTAATCTCTAAATATATCAAACCTTTCTAAGTAAATATAAACTGATATTTCTTAGATATTATTGGTCCTTGTTAGATTAAGAGTAATTCTGATTTAATGAAATTGTTTCTGCAGAGCGTGAATGATTTTCATTCTTCTGATCCAGCCCCTTTTCTTTTCTGTTTCTCCATAATTTGTGGTGAGATTTTACTCATCAGCCTCAAGGTCATGGAATTTAACCTCGGCCTCATAGCACCCAAGGTAATCCAAATCCAAGCATGGTTTTTTATTTGCGCTTCAATGTGAGCAATTGCGATTGTTGTTTCTTAATTTGGTTGTAAATAGCTTTGGAAAAAAGAAACATTTTACAACATTTAAAGTTCTGTACCGCCAAAAAACTGCTCACATAATATGGTTGTAGGAAAGCAAAGAAGGATTGCCAAAATCGAGTTTGATTTTTATACCGTTGTATCGGACATTTACTACAATCACGTTTGGTGTAAGTCAAAGTTTTTTCCAGTTTTAGCTTCTCCGTTTTTCAAAATTTTTTTGAATTCAGTGACACTTGTTTCATCTTTTAGAGTAAAATCTTTCCTGCAAAGAAGAAATTCAAGCCAGTTCTTTGCTTAAGCGAAGGGTGTGCAAAGGTGATTATGTTATTCTACTTCTCATTTAACGATTCAAGATTCATTTATCCACTAATCTTTGAAGTAATTAGGTCATTTTTGTGCCTGCTCTTTCTGACACATGTCCATCCACCAATGTCTGATTGCGATTTATCATTACCCCCCCCCCCGAATTTTGCCTATCAAGTATCCTTCCACGTACAACTCACATTGACACAAGATGTTCCATAGGGTTAAGGAGTTCCTGATTTTCTTTGCTGTCCCTGTTGGTAGAGGTTCTCTCCTATCCTGGTCCAGTAAAAGAGGCTCACCTGCACTCCATTCTTTTCTGTCTCTGTTTTGAGACCCTACCCTACAAATTTGGCCTGGATTCTACCACCCTACCTTACACATTTGGCTTGGATTCCACCACCCTCCCCTTCACATTTGATCTGGATTCCACCACCCTTCCCTACACATTTGGCCTGGATTCCACCACCCTTCTCTACACATTTGGCCTGGATTCCACCACCCTTCCCTACACATTTGGCATGGATTCTACCACCCTACCCTACACATTTGGCCTGGATTCCACCACGCTTCCCTACACATTTGGCTTGGATTCCACCACCCTCCCATTCACATTTGATCTGGATTCCACCACCCTTCCCTACACATTTGGCCTGGATTCCACCACCCTTCTCTACACATTTGGCCTGGATTCCACCACCCTTCCCTACACATTTGGTCTGGATTCCACCACTCTTCCCTACACATTTGGCCTGGATTCCACCACCCTTCCCTACACATTTGGTCTGGATTCCACCACCCTTCCCTACACATTTGGCCTGGATTTCACCACCCTTCCCTACACGTTTGACCTGGATTCCACCACCCTTCCTTACACATTTGGCGAAGTTCTCATTTTTATAAGAAAGTTAGAGATCTTTGCTGAACTCCTTAAAGTGTCAACTATTGAATGTTAATTGTGTTTTTGCAGTGTACCAGCTTTTGCCACTTGGATACTCGCGCACCCTGCTCGTCCCAGTGTGTATGTACTTTTTATTACACATACCGTATTGTTTGTCTATTCACCACTTGCTACGTGTATCTTTATCGAAGATTTGTGAGCTTTCTTCATTCGTGTGAAAGGTAGTTCTACCGTTACGCAGTATTCAAGCAATCTGATTTGTTTTATCTAAAGCTGACTTGAGTTCACTTACTTAAACACATTGACGTATCGAAGTACCTTGAAGCAGAGGCTGTGTCTGTGGTTGTAGACCTTTGCCTTTTTAACTTTAAAAATTGTGTGAAAGTTTTGCCGAAGGAACATTTCTGCCGTTTTATTCCTGACTTAGAGTGTAATGATGATAATCAAGATTGCTTACTGATCGTCAAACCTTTTTTATCAGAACTCTACGAAAAGTGAAAATGAAATTTGCTTGGATCGATGTGAATTTTTGAAAGTGGCTGCAAAGAAAGGTAAGATCGGTTCGTCATACAGTTGCGTGCTGGCAGGGGGGGCAAGGGGGGCGATCGCCTTCCTGCCGATCACATTTCAGGAGTGCCAGAAGGAATTTTCACCTTAAAGAGGCGCCGGAGGTGCCCTAGCCAAATAGCTGGCAAAACAATACTAAAGGCGGACACTGTATAACAAGGATCACCTTGCAACATACCACCTAGTCTTTTTTACAAACTTTGATGCGCTTAACAACGATCGTCAAACATCAACTCAAGATCTCGCGCTAAATCTAAATGAGTTTTACATAAAGTAGATGTCAGGGGCGTAAAGAGGAGTTGTGGGGTGTTTTTGAGGAACCCGCCGATAATTTTGGGCTTGGCGGTAAAAGTTCGGGTTAGGTATCATTTCATAAAATTATTGGGAGGGCGCAAAGAGTTTTGATTTACTGAACTGATAAGAAATGATAGGAAGAAAATGCTGAGAGATTTTGTTCCAATCTGAAGAAAATTATGTTTCTTAATGTTAAAACATTAAAAAACGACACCAGAAAGTTGATTAAAACCATCAAATAGCTTTCAATCTGTGGATATTTATTTCACAGATTATTTATTTATTTATTTATTTCAATCTGTGGATATTTATTTCAATCTGTGGATATTTATTTCACAATCTGTGGATACTTGCGTTATTGAAAATTGCTTCAAAATGTGCATTTTCCAACAAACTTGAAGCATCAAAATTCAAGAGGTTTTTTTCCTTCGGCGGCAACCATGGTGCCGCCTCGGACAGTATAGCTATATCCTGGGCTTGTTTCGATATATAGACCTAAACTATCTAAAGGTTTGGAAGTTCTGATATTATTATGTAAACAGATGTTGTTAATTTACGCAATGTATTGCGGTGTGATGGTGTCAGCAACTAAAGAATTTCAGGATATTTTTTCAATTAGGCAAATTTGTAGTGAACCCAAACAAGGCCTGCCTCGGACCGGCCTTTAGGCCATACTTTGAAGAAAACTTCTTATGAGTTTTAGCCAGGACCTTCGATGAGTCTAGAGCGATGTTGTAAATATTTGGATGCATTTACCGGTCAACTCTAAAAGGTCTTCTTTAAAATTTTTCGCCGCCAACCATGGTGACTACCTTCGCTAAACTCCTGAACAATCTTACGGCCCCCTCCTTACCCCCAACCTCCCTCAATAGTGACGTCCCTCATTATCATTGTTGTGCTGTTTAATGATACAGCCGCTACAGCGATACTCAAATATACTGTTAGGTATTACAAAGAATAACATATTCTATTTGAAAATTCTCTATCACGTCCTGTCGGTAATTGACTGCCCCGTCTCCTCTCATTTGAAGGTCTTTCAGTATGACACAGATAGATAGATACAGATCTGCGTGCTTTCGAGCTCTTGTACTTTTCTGCACATTTCAAAAACTTTGAAGGAAAATTTTGAAGATAGCTGAATGAGGGGCGCCATTTTGACCATTTGCTCCCCCCCCCTGCGATCTCATTCCCAACACGCCACTGTCGCTATATCTGTATTTTTCTTAAATAGAGATTTGTATAATTTTCGTTCGTGAAGATTTGTTCTTATCGCATTTAACAGTGAAGCGCTACAGTGCTTGATGGGAAATGATTTAAATTGAGAAATGTCAGCCTAAAAGCACTTGTCGACTCCTATTTACAAGAAATTAGATAAATATCCCCTTACAACAGTGATGATATAAATATAAATGTGGATGCATCGTATGTCTAAATGAAGAGTGAACATCGGTCGTTATTAGGCATTACCATTATTATTACTTTAAAGTGTTATTGTCTATGCACCCGCTTGTCATCGCAGGATGCTGTAATTAGTTCCCTTCGAAGATCTTGCCGTCAATTGAATTATGAAGCTACTTTTTGCCTGTTGAAGACACAATCTGGGCATTCGTGTCCGTTTTTGCCCCATTTTCTGTTATGTCCACTCTCAAAGTTCTACGAGCCCGTGGAGCCCAATGGTAGAGCCACACTCATTTCAGCCACACTCATTTCAGCCAGGCTCAGTTAAGCAACGCTCAGTTGCTTCCTTATTATCGAGGCCTTTTTTCTGGTTAAGCTGCCAGTCAAAGGTGCTTGTGTTTTCACGGTTTTGTGGTCACTGTAAAACCCTTTCATATTTCCATAATTTTTGCATTGTGGTTGGTTTTAAATATGATTAACTCAATGGGTCAACCCACGTCGACTTGATAAGTCAATGCCGATACGTTGTCCAATAACACGGCCGATCTCTTGTTATCTTTTATAGCTATAAGACAGAGGTCACATCTAGGCGGGGTTTTACCCCGTGAATTCGGTTATGAATGCGTTTTTGACATTGAAACTTGAATCATGGATACATCGCTATCACGTTCAATCCTACCCTGTTTTAAGGAGAACATATCGAGCTAACTATTCTAGCAATTGCCTTTCATTTCCACCTTGTTTTTGCAGGGAAGCCAGGAAAGTGTCCGGACACGCGAAAAGGATTCGAGTTGGCTAAGGTGGGACGCTGCACAGGAGACTTCGATTGCCTAGGCCCAGAAAAATGCTGCAGAAATGGAGACGTGCAAACATGTCAAAGCCCAGAATTTATCTTTAACTCTAGTAAGTGCCTTTTTCAAATTCAATTAAATCATTTTGTCTTGCGAATGTTTTTAAGAAAAATTATGCCCGTCATATCTCCCCCCCCCCCCCCCTTGAAATATTTTGGTTTACTACGAAACGACGAAGGAGATAAGAAAGCACTTTTTTATAGGACTTGTATGATATTTGTCTAAACTATCAAGATTGTTTTTTGGGGGAAAGGGGCCTGGAAGTTGAAGTATTCAAGAAAAGAGTTGAAAAATATAAAAACACAGCGAAAATTCTTGGGTGTTTCAAGTTCTGTAGGCAGGCATTGTAGATGAGTTACACTGTTTATTTTTTGTAGGTTTCCCTCCCGTACCAATCGATGTAAAAGCAAGGAAAAAGTCGTCCTCCTCGCTGCTTCTTTCGTGGGGGTTGCCTCAAAACTCCACGTGGGTTGGGGTCATTGTTTTTGTTATTGAATTTCGGCACGCGTCGAGGGTTTTGCGACCAACAAATAATGATTTCTCATTCTGGTCATTTGCTGGTCAGGTTTGTTTCTTTGATATTTTTCGTGATTGTCTTGAATCTAACTGTTTTCGCTGTCTCGTGCCTGTTGTTTCATCACATGGGCAGCACTCTTGCTGGTTGCCACGTACGGCCCTGTTGCCACGTACGGCCCTGTTGCCACGTACGGCCCTGTTGCCACGTACGGCCCTGTTGCCACGTACGGCCTTGTTGCCACGAACAGCCTTGTTGCCACGTAGTGCAGTTGCCTCATTCTAAACCAATGTGCAGATGTTTCTGTATTGAACAGCCTCTTCATTCTGCTACATCGACATCTGAAGTTAATATAAACTATTTAAAATATGAATGTAGAATAGCTGTTAGAGGCCTCGCCCCAGATCTCAAATTATGCTAGAGCACATGTTCGAAGTGTTCGGGGTGGATGAAAACATTGAGGGAGGAAGGAGGAGAGCGTAGTTTTGAGAAATTTTAATATTTGCGAATCAACATGTAAACATATTGTGTTTGGTTTATAAAATAAAACCAGAAGTTATTCACGAGAGAAGAGGTTCACAAGCATAGCTGTAACCAATGAAATCCTTTCTTTGCAGACATCTTCGTTACAGAAGACAATCAAATCGCTAGTGCCTGGGGAATGGTATCAACTACGAGTGATCGCCTACTCTTTGAATGGAACCAACGGCTATTCGCAGCCTTCTGCGGGTTTCCGTCTTGACGTGGAAGTGCGGAGGCCCAGTCCCCCAAGAAACTTCAAGGCATCCAATGCTTGGTTTCAAAATAAAAAGATTTTCGTCAACGTAACTTGGACTCCGCCGCTTTTTCCTGGTCGGTGTTTTTTCTTCCGTTTATTGACGTTTTCTCTCAAGAAAAGTACTTCTATAATGTTAGCTAGGCAATAGATGTTTTTTCTGTCTTTCTAAATATAATCCATCTTCTCTCTAGACCTTGTAAATTATAACGCTTTGTCATTCATCACCTTGTTGCTTGCAAAATTACATATTTGATCTCTATTGCTCGCAGTATCATATTTTGAGTAAAAATGCTCCCAAATAGCATTTCCACGTCTAAACATAAAAGGACACAGGAAACGCAACTGGAAAAGCAGCTGGCTTTTCTTCATTGCTCGTTCAATTGCCATCGTCAGAAAATTTATTCATTTTACATGTGATATTAAGCAGACAGTTGGCGGATTTTTTGTGATAATTCACGCAATCGATTTTCTATTGCAGATCTTCCTGTTCGGCGATATAGGATAATCTATAACAAACACGTGGATGGTTCTATGTATCACTATGACGCAATTCCATTAAGGAGGACAAAGATATCTGGCAAGGAAACGTCTACCATTCTGAAGAACCTTGACCCCAGCTCTATCTACGTTGTCAAGATCCAAGCAATGTTGTCATTGCGAAGAAAGAAAATTAAGGGGCAGTGGGGCACCATGTATCTCAAGACCCCACCTCTACAAAGCAGGGAACCTTTAACCACTAGAGGTACTTTTGCTAATTTTTAATGCCTCGCTGACCTTTTGTTCAGTTGTTCAGGACATTTGTTTTTGAAATACGAGTACAGATATCTTGGCTTTTCACGACATAATCATCACACTATTTCAGCTCAAACTTTTCAAACCGCTCACTTCTGTCTCTATTTGATATTCGTTGTAATATCCGATAAAAATATCTTTCTTTTCCCTTCCTTTGTCCCCAGCTTTTATTTGCCCTGCGTTTGTCTGTCCTGTTTTTATTTGCCCTGCGTTTGTCTGTCCTGTTTTTATTTGCCCTGCGTTTGTCTGTCCTGTTTTTATTTGCCCTGCGTTTGTCTGTCCTGCTTTTATTTGCCCTGCGTTTGTCTGTCCTGCTTTTATTTGCCCTGCGTTTGTCTGTCCTGCTTTTATTTGCCCTGCGTTTGTCTGTCCTGCTTTTATTTGCCCTGCCTTTGTCTGTCCTGTTTTTATTTGCCCTGCGTTTGTCTGTCCTGTTTTTATTTGCCCTGCGTTTGTCTGTCCTGCTTTCATTTGCCCTGCGTTTGTCTGTCCTGCTTTTATTTGCCCTGCGTTTGTCTGTCCTGCTTTTATTTGCTCTGCGTTTGTCTCCTGATCTGTTACAAAATATGTTTTTTTTTCAGCTTGATTTGAGTCAGCTCTTCATTTAATTTTTGTTTTTAAAGGACTACCTTAATTATAACTTTAATGCTTGTTTGCTCTTTTGCAGGTACTTTATCGAACACAGGGTTCTCTGAGATTGTTAATAGTTCAGTAAGCATCAAATGCACTCAAGTAATTCACACGCCGAATGGCTTCTCAAAGATAATTTTGCAGTGGAGCGTGCCAGGTACCGTTTTATCTCTTGCATGCTGCTTTTTTAAAATCATTTATCGCTTTTTCTGAATCAAAGTCGAATCGCTCGATTAAGTATAGAATGTCTTGGAATCGTAGATGAATTTAAGGGTACGAATTCAGAAAGGTGCAAAAGTAGCGTGTATATAACTTGTGCACCTTTTATTTTGCAAGGAGGATTAGTGACTGAAAACTGATAAAGTTTAGTAGGTCCTGTCTTGTCTTTCTTTGCATCTACTTTCACGCAGAAATGCTGATGTTTTCAATGGTTCTATTATCAATTTTAGTTGCCGTTGAAGGCATCCAGTTTGAGTATGAGCCGGAGAAATGTAAAAACGAAGAAAAAAAACTGAAATCGAAAGTCACCGTCAGTGCTAAAGATGACAGTCTGACAATCGAAGATTTATATCAAAATTGCAATTATTTTGTCAAGGTAAATATAATCCTTTTGTCACCCGTTTCATGTACATTGTTTGTTCAAACAACAGCAGTTTTTATTACTTAACAATGGACATTTTTGTGGAAGATGATCCCTCTCAGTCGAATTAATGCTGGCTGAGAATATAAATTCATCTTATTTATCCGTTTTCTATTCGCAGTTTTTCAATGTTATGCTTCGCCTTTCTTCGGTTAATACACCATCCCAATGTATCTCTGTTTTCTCTTTCCTTTTAGATGACAGCGTTCTATTCAAATAGATCTACAGCGTTTCAGAGGAGTATTTATTTTTCAACTTATCCAATAGGTACTTTATGATTCATTTCTTTTCAATCATTTGCGATGTTTATGCTAACCTGTCTCTTATTCTCACTTTTTACAAGTTTCTATTTCAAGTAAATCGTTTTTTGTATATTTGAGGAATCCCGTTTTTTCACTTTTCTGGATTGTTTATCGTCGGAACAGATTTTTATAACAAATGCTTGTTTCGCTTTCAATTGTTTTTGCATTCTCATAAATGCAGGATCCGATTTCAAGAATACTAATATCTTTTCTAATTATAAAACATACTTCGCTTGTAGTGACAACAATGACAATTTCGACAACTTCTGAACCAAAGAAAAGAGGTAACTCCGGTTCCAGATTAGAAGCCACTTTTTATTTCTATCAGTATTTTATCTCAGTTTTTTTAGTGTCGATTTTGAATTTGACGAATTTAGATTTATGATTTGTTGTAATTGCTCTTATGTCCAACTGTCTTTGGCCTTGATGATCGCCTGCACCGTTGAAAAAAACGACATTTTATTGACATTGCATGGCCATTCAATATCAAGACGAAAACAAAATGCCAACACTGCCTTTAGTAGGATCAATACTTGGCAAATTTAAGTCTGAGCCGAACGCTCAACAAAGGTGGAAATCAAAGCCAAAGAGGAACATCAAAGCAAAATAGAGCTTTATTTTATATTGATGTTGTATTTTATGATAGATTTTTGTGTTTTAATTTTTGCTTTAGGTCAGCTCTTTTTCGTTGTTGTTTTCGTCCCTCACATAGTGATTTTATCGTTTTTCACGCATAGTTTGTCATCCTCTATGCAGACCGTTTTTAAAGCGCATTTTCTTTAGGATATTTAGATTATCGATAACCTGACTGTCATAATCACTAGGCAGATGCGATTACCTGATCGTCAGCCTTATTGCCAACAATTCTCCTTTGCTGTTAGGTTCATGTTTAGGGCTTTATAGCCTATTGTCATTTCTAAGTGCTTAGTATATTTCTGACGGAGAAGTGGCCAAAAACTAGGCTTGTTTCTTATCATCTTCATTCTGTCAAATTTTAAGCTTTGACAGGCCTACAGGTAATGTTGTAATTTTTTAAAGGGATTTCTTTTTCTTCATCTCCGAAACCCCGCTTCGCTGTGAAAAAGAAGGAAACAAGAAAATATGTCCTTGACCTTCACAGTTGTTTTCTCTAGTAGAAAGGCTACTTTCAGGCAATAGAGTCTGTATCATTAAGTTAAAGTTCGCTTGCTGCAGGAGATTTTGAGGAAAAGTATGAAAAAATTCTGATCACGTTTTATAAGTAAACTTAAGATAAGGTCCATCAAATATGTCTACTGGGTCAACACACCCCCATATTTAAGATTTTTATTGGATGTGAACGAAGTTCAGTGGATTCCAATTCACTCTGCATTATTTTTCGTTGTGACTGTTGTGCCCCATGTTTATTCAAGGTGCTCATTCGTTCCTTTTTCCGCATGACTTTCTTTTCTTGAATGTGCTTTGCGCAATGACGCCATATCAAAAACTCTTAACCGGTGACGTAATATTCAGTTGATATTATGTTCTGTTGGTAGATAAGGAAATGTATTATTTTTATTATCGATATTATTATGACACGCACCATGCATTCATAAGGGTATTAAGGCATTGATCTTAACATACTGTTGTTGTTGTGTTTTCATGTTTATGCCGCATGTTTTGCTAAATCAAGAAGCGAGAATCGTCACGTGTTTAAAGGCGGCCATTTTATTTTTCAAGCAAGGTTCCACTTACTCGTTTTAGGCGATTTTACGTTCGTAAACAGATGTCAGATATTTATTGTTATAACGGATTGTAGGTGGTACTATTTTTGACTTAAAGTCTTCGTAAATCGTTGTGTTTTTCCCTGTAAGGGCTCGTCTATTGACATTATTTTCTAAGTAATCGTTTTGTAAAATAGATGGCTTTGCCGAAGGACGCCAAGCTTCACTTTCCTGACACCGCAGCCCTTATTCAACTTGACATGTACCCATTAAAGTTCTTTGACAGAGTAATTTGCAAGCCCTTTGCAGCCACAAAACAGAGGTTTTTGCAAAACTAAATAATTATGAAGTCCTTCGATTTATTGGATTGACATTTCTCGTATTCTTCGAAAATTTTACGATTTGTGATGAAATCCTAAAAGTAATGTTAGAAAAGATCTATCATTCTACCGCTTAAGCTGGCTTTATTAGTTAGGGAAACCTGCAGATTTTCTTTTTGAGGGTTATTTATAACATGTGGGTCGGCTGTTGTCCTATGTGTGGAGCTTCCGTCGTTCTGTGCGTGAAGTTACAGTAGCAGCAGTATTATGCACAGTTTTATTTTACAACCTATTTGTATTATTCTTAAATTTCAGCAATGCCAAATCTATTTATCTTTTCTTTTTTTAAACGTTTTTTGTTTTAGAGGTGTAGTTTTCGATTAGATGGTTCAATTTGCGATGTCCTTTGTCAATCTTGATTTAGAAAACAAAGTGTTAATTCCCTTGTTTTGAAAATGGTTTTTCTAAAGAAAAGAAAGACTTTCAATGTTCAGTGCAGCTTTGAGCATTCCTCAAATTTAAAAAAGCTCTGCGTTTTTTTTAACGCAGAATAAGCAGTTTCGGTTTAAGAGCATTTTCCTGTTTTAGGTTAGGTCAAATCTATTGTAGACGAAAATGACGGGTTATTGGCCGTTTTCTTTGATTGCTGCGATAAAATTGCATAATTATAAATAAATTATAATTAATTCATTCAGACTGAGCATAGCTGCTGCAATTCGCAGATTGCTACTTGTTGCTTCAATTTTAGGAGCTTCCCTGTTTGTTCAACTTAATGTGCGATAGATTTTTGCACATTTGATGGCACATATTCGCACAAACTCTAGTTTTCTATTCGTTGTCAAACAGCAGATTATATTGCCGGGTATACACTTTAAGGTAGATGTTATCTTTAATGCCAAAATTAGATTAATGGTTGAATTTCTTTTCGTAGCGAATGTATTTATTCTTTTTTTAATTGTCATAGAAACTTCATCATTTCTGCTTCAGTAGTCAGCTTTCTATTTGTACTTGAATATTTTCTGTATCATCAAGCTAAAGAATTTAGTTTCCTCGTGTTTGACTTTCTTTTCCCCAAATCTGAATTTCCGATCAAGAAACAGAAAGGGAACATAAAAATTGAACCCAGCAAAAGTGCAACAGGAGTAGCCTTACTTCTGGACCAAAAGCTGGGTAACCAATTTCGATACTTCTATATCTTTAAACAAGCTGGGGAAACCAAATGCTGGGGAACAAATTCCAAGTAAATTATATCTCTTGGAAATGATTTCAGCCAAAAGTTAATGTCATACCAAGGCTATGATATAACCATTTAAAGATAAATGTTATTGCCCAAATATATCCTGTGCTTAAAAAGTTTCAATATGGCAAGAAATGGTAGCAAGTAAAGAAAGAGAAGTAGATATGGGGAATCTAAGAAGATTTTTGTTTGCCTATATATTTTGCTAAAACATGATGGATGTTTTCCCAGGGCTATAACTTTACCATTTGATGACAGATTTTGACTGCCTAAAACTTGATTTCATATGGTTAGTAAGACTCTAATTTTGCCAAAAAGCTTTGATATTGAAAGAGAGGATTCAATATTAGAAAACTAAAGTAAAATGTGTACAAAGAGAAGATTTTGTATAAAAATGGCTAAAATATTATATACTACCAAGGTTATAGTCATGCAATTTGATAATGGATTTTTCTGCCTAAAAATTGAATGGAGGACGCAATATTGGGAAAAAGAAGTTAATGTGTAAAAAGAGAAGATTTTCTATGTTTATGGCTAAAAATGATGTTTCCCCAAGGCTATAACCTTACCATTTGGTGAATTATTTTTCTGCGTAAAAGTTGATTTCATATGGTTAGTAAACTCTGATATATTCCGAAAAGCTATGGAGGGAGACTAGAAAAAAGAAGTAAAATTTAGAAACAGAAATGATTTAGTAAGTAGGAAAATATTTTCTGCTAAAAAATGTATTACCAAGGCTATTAAAACCTTACCATTTGGTGATTGATTTTACTGCCTTAATATTGATATCATGAGGTTAGCAAACCTTGAATATCATATTAAAAGCTTTGTTATACAAACAGAGGATACAATACTGGAAAAATGTAAAAAAAAGAAGGTTTTGAAGGAAAATGGCTAAAACACAATGTATTACCAAGGCTATAGCCTTACCATTTGGTGACAGATTTTACTGCCTTAATGTTGATTTCTTGTTGTTAGAAAACCCCTTATATTGTCAGAAAAGCTTTTAATATAAAAACAGGGGGCACAATGTTAGAAAAAAGCAAAGTACAAAAAAGGAAAGATTCTGTATGAAAATATTTTCTCAAAAACAAGGGCAATAAATTTACCCACTAGATTAAGGGTAACATGATACTATAAAACAAGAAAGTGTGGTGAGTAATCAAAGAAGATGTTTCATGGTGACGGTACTATAAAATTTGGACAATGTCCCCAGAGCTTAAAGAGGTTCAAAGACCATTTTTGGGGCAAATATTTGAGGGGTCTATATTGGTGGGACTATAATCAGAAAATGCAAAATCAGTTTTTAACCCCAAATGTAAATATCTGTCATGTTTTGTTGACACTCATTATCAAACTTTAACCATCATAGAACGACAGGTATATTAAAAAAATTACAGGGAAAGATAGCTGGTGAAGCCAGAAAGATCTAAGTAGGCACATCAACTCAAGGAGAAGGCATTGAGATGCCTGGTATATATAAGGTCTCAAAAAAAGCATTACAAACGTAATGTAAGGAAATACACTCAAGAAAAGTTTAAGAATAGAATTTGCTGTTCTTTCATTTCATATTGGTATTGACATGCATTTGTGTTGAAGGGTAAACATTTCCTCTTATGTTTGATTCCAAATATAAGCCCTGATCTAATATTTAAACTCTTACATTTGAAAGCAGGTTCACCTCCCAGAAATGGGGAGCCTATCATCATAAGACTATATCTTGGAGGGGACTGACTTGACAAAAAAAAATTGTTTACGGTTGAAACAGCTTATAATCCCAGTTATAGCCAGCATCTCAAAGCATTATACATTATAACTTTAGCCACTAATAAGACAATTAAGTATAACTACCATAGAGTCTTCTGAATTTCATTAAAAGATCTACTGCATACTGTACAAAGGGACACCGGAGAGGAGGGATTGGGGGAGTCAACCACCCCTGTTGCCATTTTATAGGAGGGGCAAGGGGGGCTAAAGTACCCCTTTCATAGAAGTGCTCTTGTAGCCGCACTTCTGTAAGAAATAAAAAAGATTCATTTGAAATCCTGAATATATTGCCTTATTTACGGCAACATTGCTCAAAACTTCTAAAGAAATTTCTTATGCCAAAATTCAGGCAAATTTTTAAGAAACTGACTGAAGATCGAAACAAAACGATGGTTAAGAAAGAATTGTTGGTAACTGGGCATTATTTTTCAAATGCCCTTTTGCTCAAGCCTGCCCCCCTTGCCCCTTAGTCGGTCCAGCATCCCTGACTGTACATTTCAAAGCAACTAGAATGTGTTATTAATTTTTTGTGAAAAGTGCATCTTTATTGAAAAGGGGCTGCTAGATAGAAATCAGTAAATATAATATACTAGATACAGCACAGTAGAGTAGGTACTAGCAAGTTTATGGAAAACATTGTACACTAGATACCTTTGAAAGTTGATAAAATTAGTGACTATTTGATGCCTGACTATTAAATAAACCCCAAGGTATCCAATGAACTTGCCTCAAACTTGTAAGTTAATAAAGGGTTCATTATTTCTCTCTCTGATATAACCTATGGGTGCAAGTGGTCTGTGATAATTTGGTGGTTTTGGTACATCAATGTTAACTCCTCTTAAACGCAGCAGAGATAAACTACGTTCATCAATACCTCTGCATTCTTTTATTTTCAAAGTATGCAACATTTTACAATACTCCCTAACTTTGAATATTGCATCATTTTCAACTCGCCAGCAGCCCTTAATGCTTAAGAACTCGATTTTAGGACATTTTTCTGCCAAGGTGAAAATTGAAAAGCCACCAATTCCATAGCAAGCACTAATATCAACATGATTTAGCAATTTGTTGTTCTGGAAAAGTGTTGACAGACTGTCATTGTTAATGTTCCAACAACCAGTCAAAACAATCTTTCTAAGATTTGTGCATTCTAGGCCCACAGTAAGGAGTGCATCTGATGTTAACCATCTGCACTCAGCCAAAATAAGATCTTGCAGCCATTTGCTGCTCATTGCTAGAGCTTTTATGCTGTCGTTCGTTACACCCATGCATCCTGTTATGTCAATTCTTTTGAGGCTGGTATTCTTTGAAAATACAGGAATCAAAACCTTGTCGTCAAGCCACCTTTTGCATCCATTTAAGTTCAGATCCCGGAGACTTTCACAATCACTTGTTAAAGAAATAAAATTTTTCCTTGAGAAATTAATCTTTTTTCCGGGAACACTCAAATCAATAATTTGGCACCCTGCGAAGTATGTTTCCACAAGCAGTAAAAAATCTTTGCTTACAGACCGAAGTCTACAAATGTCAGATACATTTAAATAAATGAATATCTTCTTGCAAATAATATCCTCCCAAGGTAAGTCGAAAAATTGAGCCATTTCTGAAATCATTTCAGTTGTTTTATTGCTTTCCTTTTACGCACAAGATTGTCATTCCTCATCCTGGTACGGCGGCCATCTTTCCTCTATGGCCTCCTTTAGAAAACAAACTGACAAGGGAGATCTCTTTCCTTTGGTGGGGATGGACAGTGGCGGTTTTAGGGACTGCGGGGCCCCGGGCCGAAAACATATACGGAGCCCTTTTTTGCAATTTCTATCTTTTTTCTTGGTTGTAGGGCCCCTCTTGGGTACCATAAACGCGGGGCCTGGGGCCATGCCCCCTGAACCCCCCTAAAACCGCCACTTGGGAGCGATCACCAGTTTTCCTGCTAGGGGCCAATTTGTGATATGGGAAAAAACATGCACTGAACAATTAATGTAAAGTTGCGAAGGGCTCCGGGACTAATCTTCTTTTTGCTATTGTTTCCTGATAAATATTTCTCAAGGCCCTCCCCCTTGTTCTTTAGATATCAGTGCATTCATGCATGAAGCAAAATAGAAAGACAAAAAAGGGTTCTCAACAGCGGCAAGAATGAACCATCGAGGAAGCACGCTCACTCAGGGTTTCTTAAATTTGAAGAGGAAATGACTGCCAAACTCAGAGGAATAAATGATGGACATAAATGGAAATAAAACCTCATTACAATTATTGGCTTCATAAAAAATATTTCTTTGGTAATTGAATTGTTTCAAGCTTACTAAAAATGGCCAAGTTACAACCACATGAGCACAGGCTATCCAGCGAGATCGCTATCAATTCACGAACCAAGCTTAAGCAACGAACCAACCTAAAGCAGCGAACCAACCTAAAGCAACGAACCAACCTAAAGCAACGAACCAACCTAAAGCAACGAACCAACCTAAAGCAACGAACCCTCCTCTTTATATAAACAAAAACTTGCCAATGCAGCTTATTTCCCTTCGAAAAAGCTCTTCCTCTCCATATCTCGGTCAATTTGTTAGATTTATTTCAGTCTTTGCACATTTCGCGGACATTATTGGTGTTATTCTGCTTGCGAGGTTCAAACCTTATCACAGGTGTCCGACGCACCCAATCATTTAAAAAAGCGAAAGAATATTCACTAGGACCCGGCAAGAGTCAGTGGTGCCCTGGAAAAAGTATTGTTAAAAAGAATGAAGCTTGGTCGTGTGGTTTTTGTCCTTTCTTACAAATAGGTCTCTGCTTTGTGTGATTCCTTGAAAGTACTGCACTTTTAGGTATAAAATACTTAAATTATACTCAAAAGGAAAACCTTTGAAAGCATTGGTGTGCAAAAATTATCAGAATATTAGTAGGAATGAAAGCTGGGTCTGAATTAACAGATTTGAGCAAAACACACCAGTCTTGCTGTTAAATTCCTTATATGGACGCGCACCATCATAATTGTCAAATAAGGTTACTCCAAGACCAGTGCATTCGGCTGGAAAACTATGGCCGCAAGAAGGAAAGACTTCGCTGAATGAGGGAGAAGAAAAAGACAAGACTTTCCAGCTGAGAGGACGTTTGCCTGATCATGGTCAAACAGAACGATGATATTTTGTGACGTTTCAGTTATAACTCATATCATTTGAACCTTTCCATAAAGTTCCTTCCCATGAATGGTTTTTAAGTCGGAGAAGTTGAAAGTCTTTAGTCGCCAAATTCCAGTATATAAGAGACAGAGGTACTTTCATACTGAGTAGTCAGGGCTGTTAGTGATTTTAGTCAGAGCATGAAAGGGGCAGCTTGATACGCTGAACTGCTTCCCCCATTGTGGCAAATATAGATTTTCCGGTCACATAATGCGCCGAAAGTCTTTTGGCAAGAAGTAGAAACAGATCTGATTTATTTTCATCTACTTGTAGGATCGGTCAAAGGTTTTGTTGAAGAAAGAAGGGGTTGTAACAAAGGTTTTCAAAATTCAGAAGAAAGTAAATAAATTGTTTTAGGCCCTTGAAAAAACAGCTTTATATGATATCTTCTATCGTGAAAAGCCTTTTTGGCAACCGCAGAGAGTCTGGGTTAGGTCTTTCAGTCTTAAAATAGAGTACAAGGGTACATTTTTCATTTTGGGTCCTATCTTTTTCAGCGCATCAAACTGCCCTTTATTGCAAAGTTTCATGCTATTGTACCAAAGTAAGACTGACATAAGATAATAATACCGTCCATAAAGGTTTGGTTTGGTGCAAAGTACCCCAGCCTAAAAATGGAACAAGGGGACAATTTCCAGATGGGGTCTACATCCTATCGTTTTCTGCGTATCAGATCGCCATTTATTGCAAAGTTTCCTGGTATTGTACCTACTTTCAGCAGAGATATCGAAACAACATCGCTACAGGAGTCTTTGGGCAAAGTAACCCAGTCTAAAAATAGCCGAAACTAGTATCACAATTTGCACAATTCGACCTAAAAAGTGATTTAACAGCTCTGACACTAAAAAACTTTTTAGCTTTTAAGTCTAAAGCCAGTACTACTCTAGGACATACTACCAGACCAGAGGAATGCTGTTTTCTTGCTTCGTTAAAGAAATGCATTTGTATCAATTGCTGTCAAAATTTGCATTTATTTCCACTTCACTTGCATCAGCACTTTACTCCCGGCCATTTAAAATCACCTTGGAATATTTTTAAGTGTATTCTGAAGTGAACAATGCATGTATCTTAAAGCAATATGTTGATATGCTGTCCAGCAGAGAATTTTGCAAATTAAGAAGAAGTACTTCACGAAACAGTTTTTGAGCAATGACAAACTCTGCCTATCGCGAAGTTTCAAAGAAAAAGAAAAAAGAAAACATAATCATTTTAGCTTACATCTACGTCAAATTCAGGCATCACAAATCAGATATATACAAATTTCGGGACTGTTCCAGGAACACCGGAATCAGCGTGCTTACTTTCCGCGCTGTTGATTTACTTCCGTCTTTTTTGGTTTCCGTTTGCCAAAATGATTAGGATTCGAATGAAAATGTTGATTGTGTCCATGTAAATCCCGAGCGAACTAAAAAAGAAAGGCTTTATTTTTTTCTGTTCTTAACCTTATCATATAGGCAGCGCTATGGCTGTGAGGCTGTGAAGATCTTATTTCCCACCTAACCGAGATGATCTCGATGGTTTTATATACTCTTGAGTATGGAGATTCAGAATCCAAGATGGGACCAAAAAAGTTTGCCTCAGTATCACAGGATAGCATAAATCCATTATATATTCAAAACAAATTGTACAATTTAGTGATTTTAGGTTTTATGTGAATGGGCATTTCAAGAGCTATCAAAGCATCACAGTCTTCAAGACTACAATCCAGATCTACAGACTGGGGGAATGGATCTTGAACAAGAACACTTAGTAAATTGCTTGCTAATTATAAAACTAATTATCTTTGACTAAAATGTCACAGTAAAAACCAAAGGGTATCGCATTATTTTTAATTCACGTACAGCAAGCCATGGTCACAGATCTTAAAGTGCATCCTTTGCTTCGCTACAAGCGAAGACAACATGCCCTGCTTTGCCCTGCTAGGAAACTTGAACGGGCAATCCTACTGGCCTAAGAGAATGTTGGAGTAACCAGGATTCAAAATTATAAAGAAACTTTGTGCTACAGATACTCACGCATTGATGGGATCATACGGCCTTCGCTGGTACGTCGTGACTTCAGCAGTCTTTATTATCTTCTGTGTGTCATACAGCATGAAGCCTCCGAAAATGACCAGCCCACCATATGTTACAACAGAATTGATACCGGCTCCAACTGCTGAGGACGCCGGAAGAAACATGCCACCTAAGCGCAAAAATTCATTCAAATTCTTAGTTAAGGTCAACTTTAATTTAAAAGAAAAATCACCAAAGAACCTAAAACGTGAAGTTGTAAAGAAAGAGAAAGAGCCCTCACCGATTGATGCAACACAAATGCCTCCCAATGCGAGGGCCAATGGGCCACCCCATGTCAGAAATTTCCCATCGGGAGCACAGGCTGCAGTTAGGGAGAGTCCAGCGACGGTGCCTGCAGTGTATGCTGCAGCGCGCAAAACCAGTGGACCACCAAGAAGTACCATTGGTGCAATGACAGCACCAATCACCGCACTGTGTCCTGAAAGAAACAATTACGAGCAAATTACGATGATATCAAACTGCTCAGCAACAAACACCAGACGATAAATCATAAATAGTTCAGCGGTTAGTTTATTTATTCACCAGATGTAGAATAATGATGACAGTAAAAGCGCGCAGTGACTATCAAAGCAAGTTTTGATTCATTCGCATTTTAGAGCACCGCTCAATAATGATTCATTCGCATTTTAGAGCACCCCTCAATAAGCCAACAAGATGCTTAAAATTTTTTATCCAACTGAATACCGGAACAGCCTTGGCACGGACATAGTAAAAACACAAATTCCAGTTGATATGGTACGTCTTCCAACATTTTGACCATACACAGATTCCTATCTACAACATTCACTGATTACAAACAGGTTGATAAAGGTAGTAAAAATCAATTTAGAATTGCTTACCTATCCACATCAGATGTTTAGCGTTAAAGCCAGGTTCATACGGAATTGACTGACAGGCAATAGATGTTCCTATCATAGCAACCAGACTGCCTCCAAGTACCTAGACAAATCGATACATATAACATCAAAATGGAAAGTGGCAACTGATTGAGAAGCTCAATAAAAAGATTATATCGAAAATATAACTGAGGGTCTGTATAGCGAGCCATCAATTTTATTGATTGTTAACTGAGAAAAAAACACGAAAAATCTCAACCAACATTAAATACACAGAAATAGCTTCACGGTTTATAAAAAACAGGGGTTCGAACTTTAGAGGGTGTTTGCATCCCTGGAATTCAAAGCTCGAACTGGATCTAACAAATTAGCTCACAAAATTCAATAACACAAAACAGAATACATACCAGCCATTTGTTTGCCCTCATCATTGCATAGACTGCGTTGCTTTGGCTTATTCCATATGCAGAGACAGCTGTTATGGCCAAACTTCCAGTAAAATAAAGATATGTGGATTTGACACGGCTTCTCACTTCTTCAGGCCAAAATCTAAAAAAAAGTTTGAAGAACAAAATTAAAAGAGTAAAAAATGTAATGGGATACTTGTCAAAATGAATAATGTTGTTATTCAGATAAAATACATAGAATCAAGATGGTGAGCACTGTTGAAAAACATATTTCTGTGTCCTTTGAAGCACATTTCCAAATAGAGCTTCAAAGCACCACAGACCAGTGATGATCTTTAGAGGAGTTTGGCCTTAATCAAACGAGTGGGCAAATGATGCAATCATAAAAAATATGACATATCTCTAAATGTATCAAACCAGTTAAATTTCAAAACATTGTAATGTTTCTACATTTCACAAACAAAGCCAAAATAATAGTTGACAATAAGGATTCTTCTTCTCTTGTCATACATCAGCAATCTGCAACAAATTCACCTATTTTTCGTTTTTTTCTGATGTTGTGCTTAAAATTTATGTGATTCTGTAAACATTCAAAAAACTATTTTCACATAAAATGTTCCATAGCAGTACCTTGCTTTATCAACTGCACCAAGCTCATTTGAAAGTCCAAGCCCGTAATAACACAAAGCTCCAATACCAGCCAAACACCCTCCAGCCAAAACAGCTTTTCCTGCATTTTCAGCTTCATAAAAAGCAAAGAAACATCTTTAGCAAATAGATATTGAAGCACATGATGGAGCTATATTACATTAATGTAAGGAAAAAGTTGCTCAAGCCATTGCGGTTCTAACAAAGAAATATATCACAGAATAACCTTTACATAAATTGTAGGAGCATGATTAGCATATTATTTATATATATTCATACAATATGAACATAAATTTTTAGCAACTGCTTTCGGCAGCTTTCAGGAAAACAGATTTTCCATTTAAATTCAAAAACCAGCAGCCTGTTTTTGGTTTGCCAGTGACAATTTAGTAATCTTTAGCTTGGAGCAAGAATGTGAGCTTTTCCACAAAAACTTAATTTGTTGCTCTTATATAATTGAAAAGGAGTAAAAATAATTCCTTGAGGTGATGTTTCTGTGAACATAGAAGAAGCTAGATTTCTAACCAGTGTTTATAGGAAGCTAACATTTTCTGGGTAATAAATTTGTTGGAATTCTTTTAATCTGAGAGAAAGGACAATTGGTCAAGGAAAACTGTAGCACACAGGATACTGAAGATTTGCTCCCAAACTAAAAAGGGTCCTGAGCTTGACAAAATCAAGCAAATTCTTTTGGATAATGGCTATCCAGAAGATATCATTTGGACTTTTTTAAGGAGATTGTTGTTAATTACTTGGCCAGGAAAAATTTTGATCCAGAAAAGTACCCTGTGTATTTAAAAAAATAGTGAACTGCCATTTTTTCAAAAAAAATTTGAAAGTCAAATAAAAAGGCCATTATCAAATGTTTTTCTATTAGGAGGTATTAGTCAGCATAAAGCTGATAGAAGAAAACAAGATGTTCCTGCAAGCATCAGACAAACAACAGTTCTAAAAAGAGAACAGCCACGAAGTATTTGCAAAAACCAAAATGCAAAAGTAACTTTACTCACAAATCCAGAGGGTGCAAAAACTTATAGTAACAACAGACACATGCAAAAGCATTTGGCAGGAAAGATTGTTTTTTGTTGAGGACCAAAGGGGCCAATCGACACATGCTTCTTTCTTTGATGTTGTTTTTTATCCACAACTGTGTATAAAGTTTCTGCTTGCTTTTGGCAATTATCATATGTTTATACTCTGACGAATGTTGGTCAATAAATGCTTCTGCATGTGCCATCTTAAAGTAGGAATTTACATACAAATGCGGCTCGAAAGTAATACAAGAGGAGGAGAAGTGTGCTTGGTTGGTTCCTTGTTTTTGACCAATTTGTGGCCATAAATTTCTCACCTACACTGCAACACCTGCAAGGCAATTAATGGCAGATCACGCAATAACTTTTGTTGTTGTCTGATAAAGTTATTGTTTCATCAGCCAATGACACGCAAATAAAACTGCAAATTCAATGAAGCGTAAATTTGAATATTCCATCTTCATTTTTCAAAATTTTAAATCAGCAATTCACAAGTAACTTTTAATTAATCAAACATCTTGTAAAGATGCTTTTGGCTATGATAAGTGCGGAGAATTGCTTTGTAATTGATGCAAAAACATGGTTGATGAAATGCACTGGGATTCTCCTTCATTCTCCATAAACTCTTTGAGTCAGTTCTTGTTTGGACCTTGGAGAACCTCGTAGATTTCAAATCAGATCATTTTCTTCTGCAACAAGAAATTTTCGCTTATTTTAAGGTTAGGTCTTTGTGATGGCCAAGGAGGGACATAGAGTTTGCAGATTTTCAGGAAAATTTGAGTAAAAATGGCCTTGAAAGGGAGATGTATTTGTGCTTACTATAACAGGAAATGAGTAGAAACGACTAGGAAACTAGAAGAAACAAGTGGAAATAACTAGGAAACCAGTAGAAATGACTTAGAAAAACTTTAACTGTGACACAATTTTATTTATTTAATGGAAATTCTGCCTTAATAGCTATGATAGTGGATGTTTATATGGTATTTTTGCAAGAGGAATTAAACTCTGAAAGCCTTTTAACACAGACTTCATCAGCTGGCACATAACTTGCTGTTGTCTATCAGAGCTTCTCTCAATTTTCAAGGAATAACAAATTCAATTTTTCAATTCAGCTGCCACTTTCTCCATTTCAAATTCTACAATGATATCTCTAATTTAAGCATAGGTGATGGGATCTCAGTAATGATAAAAACTTGACTTCACTTATTGAAAGGAACAAAATCTGCATCCCCCCCTTCTGATTGGAAAACTTGCATTAAATTATTGCTATGCTTGCAAGAAAGAGATCTTGATGGCCAGCTTCTTGTGCTTTGCGTATCAGTTCTGCAGTCATTGTATACATCCACAGCCAATCTAAGAAGAAACTCCAATGTTTCTTTCTTGTACTTTTCAAGCATTCTCACTTAGGGATGACCTGTTGACATATTCTTCCACGTATCTTTGTGTTCCTTCAACCTTTTAGACTCAATGTCTAAAACCCAAATGGTCTACAACCCATTTCAGTTATTCTTTTCCATCAATTCGTACTTCAGGTGCTATTGGCATGGGCCAATTAAAATAGAGAATTTTATAACCTGTTTCTCATACTTCTTACACAACTCACTTGTCATTACCTGACACCTTTGCTTGTTTTTCATTTCAGTATGAATATTTAGACAACTCTCTGACAAAAGTAACCATGAATCAAGTTGTTTGCCTTTATACCACATCATATTTGCTTCACCAAATTCACTTTCCTTGCTTTGAGGCTCATTTTGCTTCTTACCAGTTGAAGTGGAAGCAATATTATCACCCTAAACAGGCACAATGGCAGTGTTCAATATAGATTGATCAGATATTGACATCAAAGAGGGCTTCATAGTTTGTTTGGAAAGCATTCCAACCAAAGACCACTGTCCAGGAGCCAATGCTGCTGCATTTAAGGCTTTTTTTATTTTCCATTCTTAATCGTAACCACATTTCTGTTTTTGCTTCATTTTGCTTTTTGTTATATTTAGATCTCAACTCAAACAAGACAACCTATCAACCAACCTAGGAAGCTATCAACTATCAATGATTATAAACTTTATTTCCCTTGATCTCAATACAGCAAGTAATGACTCTCGCCTCACATTTCAAGTGATTGGGATATTGTTTTCAAACAAAGGGTGTTCTAAATCAGTGGGGATACAGGTTGTAACACAAACATGATAAAAGCGGGCATCTGTTTTCACAGGATTGGACAAAGGGGCAGAAAACAAAAGGATGAGAAAGGAAAAGAGAGGTGATACAATCAAAATTAAATTAGATTTGCTAGAAAAACAGAAAATTTAATATAAAAGTTGACTTTCAAAAACTTTATAGGTAAGTGGGAATTGACAAGGGTCCATTAAAATGAAATAGCAAACTAGAGACCAGGTCTGCAAAATATTTGTTTTGTTTAATGTAAATCAGTTGTTGGTAAATTGGCTTTCTAATTGTGTGTATGACTGTGTGATGGTTGAATATGCATGTGGTACAGGTAGGTCTACCAACAGGCTTTTCAGTTTCTGTAAAGATTCAATTGCAGTATTATCCTAGATTTTTTTTCAAAAGCCCCTATTTAAAAAAAAGTTTTTAAAAAAATTGTCTGAATATGTTTCTTCACTGTTCTCTGCTATTAGCAAGCAGATTATCCATGTCACAATTTCTTCTCACAAAAGTGGATAACTAATCAAACTCAAACAAAATTCATTTTCCCATATCTTCACTTTAGAAACAAAGACACAACAAATATTGGCAGCTATTGGAAAGAAAGTAAAACGTTTAATCTCAAAGATATTTCAAAAAATATCATAAACCTCCTTCCTTGAGTTTAGTTTTAGATAATGGAAATGATCTTGCAATTCTGATAAACAAAAATTTTCAAACAGCTCTGAAATGTTCTGGGAGAATAGCCCCTAGGTTCTGATACTTTTGGAAGCTATACTAGCAGGCACTTTCATGAGGAAATTTTAACAGTTCAGTTCAGTTCAGTTTTATTTTAAATTCCACTGGATACATACACTTGTTGCAAATTAGAAATAATCCAAGCTTAAAAGTATAAACAATGTAAAAGGAAGTTAAATAATATAAACATAACATAACAAATACAGAGTAGTGGAGAAACAAGCTAGTACTGTAAACAGGGAATTATTTAAAGGAGGAAACTTTCTCAGTAGTTTATAAACTAATCGAGGAGAAAGCACCCCCTAGTAAATTAAATGCGTTCTGCTTAATTTTTTAGTTCTAAAAGTAAAAAGAATCATCTGTAAGTTGCTATCAGTCATCCACAGAAAAATATCATCTATTTATAGACTAAGTTTAAAAACCATCATTGACTACTATGTTGTTTTGTAAAAATATTTTAAGATTGTTTTTAAAAGAATATTTTGAAGGAGAATTTCTAATTTCTACTGGTAGGTCATTCCACATTTTTGCCCCCATATATCGAATAGACTTCAGGTCATACCGAAAACTGTTCCTATGAGTCAAAAACAAATTACCGCTATTAGATTGCCTAGTAGAGTGTTGGTGAATATTTGCATTGTAAGAGAAGTAATCATGAAAGCAAGAGGGATTTTTCTTGTTTATAGATTCATACACAAATGTTAATAGTCTTAGCTGAAAAATATCTTGAAGTCTGAGAAGTTTAAGCTTTTTAAAAATGGGAAGAGAGGGAGAACGAAAGGGTTGATGAGAAATAGCTCTGACAGCCTTTTTTTGCAGCTTGAATATTGGCTCCAGGTATGAGTCATATGTGGTAACAAGGGGAGGGGGTGTCAGCACGAAACAAGAAGGCATGTAATTGACCTACGTACTGGCTGGCACATGATGTGTACAATCACAGAACCTAGAACGTGTACAATCAAGGATGTGGGGACGGTGTGAAGATCACCCTCACGCTCCTGGTAAAATTTGCAGTAAACCTACAATATTACCCTCACTCAAGCTCCTCATGGGGTCACACTGCCAAAATATTCATTAATCATGTTTACTTTGATTTCATTTTCTCTAACCTAATTATACTAAAATACTAACCATTATACGTAATACCTATTTATAGGTTATTGTTCAGTAAGAAATAGTTTTATCTATGACACCATGACAACAAACCAAAACTTAGATTTTGGGATAGTTGGAGGATCATGGTAGCCAACCTTCTGATAGAAGATGGTACCTGATGATGATAAGAAATAGATAGATAGGTAGATGATGAATATGACCAATATGTACGACAGATCATAAACACATCATTATCATAACTGGACTGATGAACTCTTTAATACTTTGTGTCATTTGCAGAAGCTGAAATTCCAGCTTACCGAACTAAACTTCACCAATACCACACTAAAAACGAAAGGGTAATCACAGCAGCCGTACTCACCAGTGAAACCCGTGGGCCTTGCTGTTGCTTCCCATGAGCGCCATCCATTCTTTGCCTCTGTCTGAAAATTTCTTCGTGAAAATTTTGATGCCAATTTAACTTTTTTGCCAAGGGATTGACGAAAATTCTGATACACACCACTTGTCACAAAGAGCCTTCCATGGAAGGAGCACGTCCTCACAAAAATTCCTGCTTTAGTGACAATCATTTTTGCTGCAAGCCAGCTAGCTTAGGCCACTGCCAAAATTATACAATTCTGGATGCGAACGAGGTTATTGCGGATGTTGACGAAATATTACAGCAAAGTGTTTGGGGCTGACGGTATTGCGGTATTTCCCTTTTTCACGGTCGGTTATTCGGTAATCTTCCTCAAATTAGGCGGTATTTCGGCAACAAAAAGATCGGTGTGAACGGTTTTTAGTGAATTCAATACCCAGTGTGTGTGCAGTGTTGGTCAGTTCTGAAATTAAACAATGTAGCAGTTTAATTAGAAATGTGGGCGAAATACTAGCGTCGATATCTTTTTACACAACAAGATGTTGTAAACTTCGTGATCTTTTGCCGGTAAATACAAATTTTTTTTCATCTCTCCATTATTAATGACGTTACCCTTGGTTAAAAAATTCTCAAGTAGTGACTGCAAATGAACATGATTTAATTTTGGAATTTTTATAGCTACTTTTTTCTCTTTACTTTCCTCACAATCTCAAATGACTAATATATAACCAGGTTCACTGGAGCCAGCTACAGCGACCCATTTATCGTTTTGCATATATGTCATCTTGATGACATACAACATATTATATATAAAAAGTAAACTCGACTTCAGGTGGGAACATTGATGGGCCCCTATTTTTTCAATGGCAACTTATTTTGAAATCTACTGTGTAAGAATGGGTCTCTTGTTTTCATTTTTACTTTCGAAAACAGTACAGTATTAATAAAATACATCAGTATTGAGCTTTTGTAATACAGAAAGGTTGTTGTTTCTTCCTCTTCCCCTTATGTGTATATGAAGGAATGCCCAACTTAGAACTTTGTTGTATAAGGGTTTGCTCCAAACTGAGCCATAACCCCATTTTTCCTCGCGGTGGTACTGCTGCTAACTGCTGTATGGAGCCATAAGCAAAGCACAACAGCACTTTTTGATTTGGCGTTAAAAGCGTTCAACTGCCTAAAGACAAACTAAAAAACCTATTTCTAGTTTGAAAGTGGAAATAAATTTGGATTGTTTCAGTTCCTTCTAAAGTCTCTGAAGTCCAAGGTTTGTTTAGAAAAATTGTGTTACGTTACGAATGGAAGAATTATATTTTGGTGTTCCACAATCTGTTCCAAAAGGGGAACCTTTCGAAACCAACATAGGAGCACTACAAGGAGCCTATGCCAGCGGTTCAGAAATTATTTTCACATTAGCAGCCGCATTCATGTTGCAAAATCCAGATGCAGCTAAATTACCTGACCAACCAAAGACAAATCATAACAAAGATAAAGAATACTTTAGCATCAAACAAAGATAAAGAATACTTTAGCATCAACTTCCAGTACGATGACGATATCGGGGACGCAACAACCGAAAAGCAACATAAGGATACTATACTATAAAGAAAGAACTCCCATTGAAGGCCAAACAACGAAACCTTAGCATCGATACTGAAAAACAGGAGAATTTTGTGTCGATGTAGCTGGTAACGATGAATGGAAGACCAAAAAATATCTAGGAAATATACTAGACACAGAAAAGGACATGAAAATAAGAAAGGGACTAGCAATTTTTGCCTTCAATAAATATGAAAGAATTAGAAACAAACAACTTTCTATAAAACTAAAAATAAGAATACAAAACGCATTTTGGTGTACAATTGTTGCTGTACAATTGTGTGATCTGACCCTAACAAAGAAATTACAAGAAAGTCTTGACAGCTTCCAAAGAAAACTGCTACGCAGAATGTTAAACATCACATTAATGGAAAAAATTAAAAATAAATAAATATATAAAAAGACGAAAAAAAACCCATTACGACCGAAATAAAGAGGCGACGTTTAAAGTGGCTTAGACACATGCTAAGGTTGCCAGACATAACACAAGCAAAATTAGCTTTCAAAGAACATCTAAAGAAAGCGAATGGCAACAGAGGAAGACCAAAACATACATGGATTAGACAAATGAATAATAATTTGCGGCCAATAGGCAGGGCAGTGGAGGAACTGAATCAGAACGACAACGAACGAAACAAGTGGAAAAGAACAGTGGCAAGGCTAATGTCTTGAAAAGGACGGCAAAAGCCAATAAGAGGACGGCAAAAGCCAATAAGAAGAGAAAAATGTTTTACATGGATCTTTTCTTGGCTTCCTCATATTGATAATTTGCATCAACGAGTAAAGCACAGTAGAAGATAAAAGTATTTTCGATTGTAGGCATAAAATAGAGCTAGATCAACTTTAAAGGGCTCTAATTACATTGATCTTTACAATTATTTTGATTCGATTTAGCTTTCAGAATTGTAGAGCGATATCATCGAGCTACTTGAATATTCTATATGTTTTGACTTAAGCATGAATCTGGTTACCATTTTCAGAAACATATTTTCATTAAAATTATACTTGAATAGGCAGGGGGCGCTGTCAAAAATTAACTTTTTGTATGGTGCCATTCAAGTATTTGTGCAAAGATAAGATGGGAGATCTGAAAATAATGAGCCATCGAGGATTACATTAATTTTTGAGGGATTATCTAATCTTTCGTTAGCTCAATGCTCAGCTTCCCACAGACAGGCCCCCCTCTCCCCTAGCGCTACACCCCTGGGGTTCCTAGGCAAAGTGTGATTCCACATCTAGTAAGAAGATATGCTATCATAAATAGATTTAGTGAAACTGCAAAAACTAAACTGTTTCGCAACTGAGAGAACTACTAAGCTTCAAAGCACTAAAGAAAAGCTAGTTGTATCCATCAAGAAGACTCTGAAAGGGTAAATTGTCAGAGTGGAAAGTCAGCTAAAATATGATGAAATTTTCAGAGAATTTTTATTAGAAAGATTGAAGAAAAAGGGTCCTGCACAAGCTTCATATTTCGCGGGCGCATGAGTTTTGGATATATTATAAACTTTCTGCTGAAATGGGCATAAATTACGTACTTGAATCTTGACGATTTTCCCAGAAACTACTCGAAATTTAAATGTATCTGGTAATTTTAATATGCAAAACTCGGTATTCCGGTACTATCAAAATATTCTTGTGAAATAACGGTAATAAGGAAATTTTCTTGCGGAACACGGAATTTGATACCCCCCGAAGACCCCCCCCCCCACTAAAATAAACTGATTCGCATACAAACGAAACAGATTCGAATCGAAACAAAATTATTCACGCCGACTGAAAAACTACTCACCAAAATTAAAGCGAGTCGCGCAGAAAGAAATCGCCTTCGCACAAAACAAGGGCGCCGGAGCCACGAGGGCAGCAGCCCCCGTTGCCCTAGTGGTGAGAGGGCAGCACGGGGGCAGCAGAATGCCCTTTGAAGAAATTGATTTCCGAGCAATATTAATTCATATAAATATTTTGAATGCTAACGAAATCTAGGTTTCAAGCATCTCTTGATACCCAAATGCAAGATAAAAGTTAATATTTTCTATTTTGATGAGAACTGAAAATCGATTTGCAACAAAAATATTTTCGTTGATAAGTTCTCTTTAACTTTCATGATCAGATTTCAGATTGCTGAACAGATTTCAGATTGCTACCAGCGTTGGCTCGCATATGTTCGATATATCAGCTGATGATGTCTCAAATTCAAGCAAAGGTGTAGGAACCGGGGGCACAGTGGGCATGTAACCTCCTTTTCCCGAAATTTCAACTCACCTTCCCCTTTGCAGCTCACCGAGTTGCTCTTTTTGTCAACTGCATAACCAAAAAGTGCTTTTGAATTGCTTAGGTGCTATACAAAATGAGCAAAGGGGTGACCTTTTGGGGCGATGATCTCAAATGTTTCTTTTCGATCTGCTTTTAGAAATACCAAAAATCAGCTCACAACAAGGGTTACCGAAATGTAGTGGCGATGGAAAATTGGTCATGGGCCTTGAGGTTTCCAGTTTATGAAAGCAGTTAGTAATATATAACAAATTGTACAACTTTTTAAGCGATTGCAAGGTGGCTGCAAAAATATTCCGAAATGAATTTTTAGGTAATATAGGGGCATGGTCGCCAAAATATAGCAAAAATATTCTGATGGTAATATGGGGGCACGTTTACTCGCTTCGCTTGCGAAGGACCTCCTCTTTCGATTCCGTAGCAAGGCCTCCGAAACATCTTGGCGGCATTACACACAACTAAGCCAGAAAATGATATCTATATAGTTGTAGCCAGGCTTTAGTCTCCCTTGATTGTTGTGTTGGGTTGAAAGAATTTCCTAGAATAATGTTTGTCTGTAGTCTTGATTCAAATGTATTTTTATGGATGTTCTCCCATTTTCCGAGACTCTTTAGGGCGTAGCAACGCAAAAATTTCCTAGATGCTCGCTCCAGACCGCCGAAGGGCATTAATCTACAACCAGGCTACGTCATTGGCTAAACGACGATTCTCGATCTGTTTCAAACTATGACATCCCTAAGCACCCTTTCTGCAGTCCCTGCCCCCGACGTATCTTTTAAGCTTCCGGCAACTCTGTGTAAAAGTGGGCAAAACATCATGGCCGAGGCTGAACAGAAATTCATTCAATTCAATACAAAACCTACCCTTTTCCAACGCGTAACCCATTCTTCTTAAAGTGCGACCTCTTTTCTGTGCGATTTGTTGTATTTTGTGTGACTGAAACTAAAAATGTGTGATGAGTTTTATTTTTCTGCGATCCTTTTTTCTTTTTGAGCGCCTCACTTGAATTTTGTGCGAGTGGTTTTTCTTTCCATGTGAATCGGTTTGTTTCAATGCGAATCTGTTTTGTTTGTAGGCGAATCAGTTTAATTTAAGTCCGTGGCAGTTATGGGCCACCGTACAGATTGTGCAAAGATAATTGGTAGACCCCGGCCGTCTTTCCATCTAGCAGTTTTGGAATCGACAGGAGTTCGTTTTCTCTCTTGGACTCCAGTGGTAATTTTTCTTTAGGCTCGCGGCACTGATTGGTCAACTATATCGGCCTTATGCTTGCGTTTTTCCGGTTGGCCTATTTCAATCCACAACTACTGGGTATATACTTTTCATCCTGTTCTTTCGGACCCTTATTCTGACGTTTTATGCTCTGAGACGAAAAAGCTTTTAGCCAATATGTTATAAAACGCTTGCTTTTTCAGGTTCTGTACCGCGCAAAAACCAAATCTTGCAGAAGTTTCACTTCAAGATACTGACGTCATAAAGATATTTACTAAAATAATTTATTTTTGACCACATAATCTGGAAAAAACCATCTAATACTTTCAAAAACGTAAACTCCATGATATCCGTGACAAATTGGTTCAGATATGACATAGCCACATAAGCCCAGGCTCTTGCTCCTATCAAACCACAATCAAACCACAATCAAACGATAATCACACCACGATCAAATGACGATCAAGCCACGACCAAACGATGATCATACCACGACCAAACAAAGATCAATCCACGATCAAAACCATGATCAAATCACGATCAATTCACAACCAAACAACGATCAATCCACGATCAAACCATGATCAATCCACGACCAAACGATGATTAATTCACGATCAAACGACGATCTAACAACGATCAAACAACGATCAAACCACGATCAATTGACGACCAAACGAATATAACACCACGATAAAAAGCGATCAAACAACGATCAAACCACTACAAGTTGGCATTGGTTCTTCAAAAACTAATTAAACTGACCAAAGAAGGAAATCTGCTAGGATACTCTTATCAAGTATTTCAAGATGTTCTTTCTTGGGGGAAGCTCCAGTAAAACAATTTGCATTTTTATCAGAATGAATTGTTGCGTTTAGAATTTAGTTGATTCAGGACGACGTTGATTTCATTGCTTTCAGCAACGCAATTGCGATATAAAACTTTGAAGAGTACTCATTTTCGTTTTAAACCCCTTTTATCGTATTGTATCTTATTTCTCCACCAAAAACAGAGATAGCTGACGACATTAGAAAAAGCCAACACACAACGAAGTGGCAACATCACATTGGTGTGCAGAATGGCAGAAAAGGATGTTTGACGAAATTGTTAAGCATTGGCTGAAAAATCACAAGAGAGTGGCTGGACAGTTTCCGTTGAAATAATTTATAGATATTTTTCGTGGCAACCAATCTGGTTCAGATTTGGAATTGATACAGGATTAGATTTGAAGGGAAACAAAGGCAGTTAATAGCAAAGTAAGACAAAGAAATCTTGTTAAATTTTTATGTGGGTTCAGTCACGTTCATTAATCTTTATAGCAATGCAAACAAACAAAAAATACAACAGCAATTTATCAAAACAAATCGTGGGAGAAAAGCAGAACCCACTTCTGCCTTGCTTCTTTTTCCCGTTTCTAAGCAACAAAGTTTCAACTGTGACAATAAACGATGTGTAAGATCTAAAAAGGCCATGGTACACACGCGAAATAAGTGATCAGAAAAAAATGAAAGATTTCATACTGTTGCATTGAATACGTGGATCAGCTACTAAAATCATTTGGTTGTAGCAAACAAAAATAGCTTAATAAAAATGGAACAAGTATTCTATCAATAATAATTCAAATGGGAGACGAAGAATGGAAATGCCGCCTTAAAAATGAAATTCACACCGGCCACAAGGTGAATTCAGATCACCGGACCTATTTTAACAGCACCACATCTGAGTAGGAATTTGGTGGACCTGGCTTTTGATAGAAAGGGATATTATTCTATCTTGATAAAGTGCACATCACTTCTATTCCCATTTCGAATTGATTGCTACCAAACAAGCCTATTTTCCCAGTTCAAATTCCAATTTATTGTGAAGAGGCGACTTCTACTTCATTCTGACCACTACGAGGCTTAAATCAAATAGAGTTTAATCGCAACAAAATTCAAGTTGAGCAAATGCAAGTCACAGGGCTTCAAGAGTTTCAGTTGCAGGGCTGATTGCACAAATGTAGTTTCTCTTGAATTTTGCAATAAACGTAAACAATGGACTGAACGAGTCTCCTTCTCAATGCCTTCAATGTCCTGACAATGGCCTCTGGGGCTTTCTTCCGATTTTTGGGCTTGTGTTTGGAAATGAAGACTGCTTCTGTAATAAACGAAGTAAGATATAAATAATAGTTAAGTCGAAGGAAGATACAATAAAAAGCTCACAAAACAGCCCAGAAAACATGGCGGTCGCACGGGCAACGAGCCTGACGGTTGCACGGGCAACGAGCCTGACGGTTGCACGGACAATAAAAACAAAGGAAAATAAAGTGCCCCACACAAACACCGTCTTGTGTTCATCACGTTTATGCGGAGGTTATTCGGAGGTTTTCAGAGTAGAGTTCGGAGAGTACAATTGTGGAATAATAAGAAAATCACAAGTTGCGCTACAAGGCACCAACACCCTATTTATACGAAGTAATCAAGCATATATTTCACATACCGGAGTGACGAAAAAGCGAAATCGATAGCAACTGAGGTGAAAATAACACGAGTTGTACCTGCAAGAAAGGTGGCGATGCTCCAATGGCCGATCCACTCCCAGAAGACAGCCGACCTCCTCTTGGAGACGGTGGTGTGAATGCTGTAAAGCCATGTCCGTGTGGAGGAGCCACAGCTGATAAGAACAGTCAATATTGTTGATGGCGAGAAAGAAGATAAATTTGTTTAAATTTATACTCAGGAAAAGCCTAACCTCACGACAACAATATGACAGAGAAGAGGAATAAAATTCTTTCATTACCTTTAAAGATTTCGCCCAAAAATCTAATGAAAATTGTAATTGACATAAAATGTACAGAAGTATTCATTAAAAAGGTAGAAATAGATGAATAAAATAGAAATAAAAATATTGACAGCGAAATAACTCGATTCAAGTAAATTCTGCATATTCTCGTCTTTCAAAAGAGAGAAATGTTGGCTTTGGTTAATAACGTACCTGCAGGCGATTTTGGTCTATGAGGTTGAGCTGGATAAGGTATAGGGCTAGAAATGGCTCGGTCTCTAAGTGGGGCACCCTGTGCCGCCATTTCGTTGAAATGCCTATGAAAACAGGAAGCAAGAAATAACTGGATTAATGCAAGGCATCGCGTATATCATAACAGAGAAACCATACACATTACCAAACTGGCATATGGAGGTCGCACTCATGTACTGAACTTTTTCAGCAGACACTTCTATTGGAGCCAAGCAAGGTAATTGGTGGCAAAGACGGGTATCAAGCAAGCATTCCAATATGTAATGTAAAACCGTGTTCAAAAGACTGCATTTGCAATAAATAGAGTGTTCTTAAAAGGGAGCGACACCACCCCTTCCCCTCTACCGACAACATCTTTTTAACAAATTTAGACAAATTATAAAAAACATCTTTTTGCAACATTACCGTATACATAACGTCTGAACCAAAATATTGCACAAAAGGATGAAAAATACGCAATGCATGAAACATGAAGCAAGCTGTTATGCCGACAGAAAATGGCAAATGATTAAATGACGTCGGGCACTTAATGAATTGCATTGGCGATGATGATGTTCAGTAATCGACTACGGGCCAAACTTGAGATGTAACGATAGCCTTTCGGAATGAGAACGGGGGCACTACTCCAGAAAACCGATAAGTAGGCTCGAGCCGGCGAACAATGAACATGCTTATGGTACAAAGGCCAATTATAAAGGTACCTTTCTTCATCCATTTCAAGACTTGATTCGCTTTCAGATAACTGCCTACTCAGTGCTTCTCTCCTCTCCATCTCTAGGAACAGCTTTCTTTGTAATCTAATATTCTCTTCTTTTAACTGGTGCTCTTCCTTTTCAAACATCATCATCTTTTTGTTATCTAAAAAACAATATTTTGAAAATAGCGGCCCTTATTCTGACGTTTTATACTCTGAAGAGTGTCCGCCGAAGATCTTTAAATGTTTTCTTTTTTAAAAGCCATTCTCAAATTCTGTACCGCCAAAAAACTGTAAACACTAATTTATGTGAATACATCAGGGTCGTATTTTCTAGGCAATTCCTTGGAAAAGCTGACAGAATGTTGCGACAAGCTATTATCAAAATTTCGAAACATTGTTGAAAAAGACATTTTTATTCACCAAAAATACTTAAGAATGCATAAATTTAAAAGGAAATGACAAGAAAATAACAGCAAATGATACATGATAGGGTAGAGTTTTGGTATATTTTTATGGTACTAGGTGTCTAAATTTTTGGCCTTCTTTTATGAGACAATGTTAGGATGTAAAATAGCTTCTAACCCCAGCCCGTCCCACATAATATTCTACTCATATACTTGAAGAGTGAAATGAGATCCTAATTATCGCCAACAAAGGATTCTAGGCTGCTAGCAAAAGCACAAACTATACGGGCAGCTGGAGCCCTCTTCGAAGCTGTTCAGATTCATTTTCAAAAGAACCTTTAATGTGTTTAATTGTCATTTTTGTTGGAACTAAGACCCTGTTAACACGATGAAAACAAGAACGAAACGAAACGATTCTGTGCCCGAGAAAGCAACGATAACCCTACGTTTACACTTAAAATCTTGCTTCCGTGCTGGTTTGGGACAGTTCTGTCCTTCTTTGGCTTTGCTAAAGATGCGTTAACTAGTTCCGTTCCCAAACCGTACTTTTGTTCTTCAGTAAAGAAGCTCGGAACTTGGTTAAAATTGAAAACACAATTGACTTTTGCAACAGATAGAAGCTTTCTGAAAATATTGCTGGATCACAGCCACTGGTTGTATATAATCAGTTCAGTTATTGTGGATGCTTGTCCGCTCAAATTTCAGTTCAGTGTAAACGAGTTTTACTAGGGTTCCGTTTCTTTATACATCACAGTAAACATAGGGAGAAAAATAAGATTTTACATACGTTTTAAAATCCCTAGATTTGATAAATTTATGTTTTAACATCCTTAGATTTAATAAATTTAAGTTTAGAAAACATTTGATATCTGATTGGTAACCTGAATTTGATGAATTGGTCAGACTGAGTTAACTAAATTTGCATTCATGATAAATTTTATGTTTTCCTTGTTCGGTATAGGAAACAGGAATGTTTATTCCCAAGCTAAAATGGCCGTGGCACCAAAATAAAACACTGATCTTAGAGATGACACTACTTACAAATTACACTGGCATTTCTCAGCTGGTCTCGTAGGTTAGCCACTTCTCCTCGTAGTACAGAGACATTCAAAGATAGGTCATCCACATCTACCTCAGATGTTCTTCTAGGCGAAGGGGGCTCTGAGACTGGCTGCTCAAGCTTTTCTTGCAAAAGCCTATTAGTAAATGAAACAAAAAGCTTACACACTTTGCACATTGTTGGGGAGATGAACTAAAGTACATAAAAAATACGACCTGTAAGTACAAATTTCAGTCATATGATTATATGCAGCAAAATCAGTAGATCTTTGGCAAATTTAAATTGTGCCATGCTTAAAGGAGGTATATGTCATGGCTGATTAAGATATGCTATCCTAGTTCGACATGCAATTAGGTGAAAGTTTGAAGAAATAAAAAATCAAAAAGTCTAAATTAGTGAGTTATTGATAGTTGTTTTCTTATACCATCTTATTCAAGCTGGTATTCATACAAATCCTGGAAAAGTGTAGAATATTCGTCTATACATCCAAAGTCTAATATCTAATAACATGAATGTAAGCACGCATAAAATCTTGGCTGGCCAAGAATTTTAAAACCCAGGACAGAAGAAATGGCGTCCCTAAGCTGAATACTAAGTGATGCTAAGGTATTGTCATGCAGAGATTCTAAAGGATTCACTAAAAAGACTTAACAAAATGTACAGCCTGTTTGTAAAAGGATTATGCCAAACAGTTCTGGTTTTTGGATATGTTTGTATTATAAAAACAACATCATCTAATTACATTGCATTATTAATTTGTGCCAGATGGCAGAGAAATTTAGTGTGCAAACAGGATGGTTTTCAGTTGCAACACTGAACTTCATACTTAATGCATTGCAACTTAGAACCAAGGTGGTCTACACCAAAGATGAAGTCTGCACTGTGATTTGCCTTTGGTACAGTGCTAAGTACATGGTACATGTTCCCTAGGGTGAATTACTCACAACATTTTTTGCCTCTAGGTGAAAATTTAGTTTTAATTGCCTCCTACTTTCTACAAATGTCCAATTTCCATTATCAACTACATGGTATGAAAGCATGTTTCAATCTTCAGATTAAAGTGCCATTAGGGAGGAGGTCTCACAACTTTTTCAAAAAATTCAACTGAAACTACTAAAAACAATGGGCTTTACAGACAAAAACTGAAGTTGAACCTTTTTTCCTGTTCCAGCTTTTCCATTTTCTTCCACAATCTGTTGACTAATGATTCCTGTTCCTGTTCCAAAGCATTTTCAAGATCAACCTTTTCTTTTCTTAGCTAGTAAAATAATACCAAAACAGATTTAGGTGTTTTTGAATTTGTTTAAACAGAATCAATATAACAGTGAAATAAGCTAGGTTCATGCAAATTAGACGAAATCTAATCATGTTAAAAACATCAAGGAAAATAGTGTAAAACAAGTATATTTGTGAAGATGCAAATAATAATTAGTAACCTTTTTCCAGTTTTTATAAATCCATTATCAACATTGACAACTTGGAATTGCTTTACAGGCAACATAGCCAAAAGTGTGATTGTCGTTGTCCGCAATTTGAGAATATCATTGCAGAGTACTCTACTGAGCCATCTTTTCAGCATTGAAAATTGGTACAAAATAAATTTCATTCAGACATTTAAATATTAAATTTAATGTTGATAATATAACTTTGGAGATGAATATAACTGGACTTGGTTTCAGAGTTGATTAATGTTAATATGAAAGATATTCAGAAACAAAGCAATATGATGGCAAGAATCCAATGAAATGAGATAAATTTTCAAAATAAAGTGAATAAAATGAATACCGATTTTTCGCCCTGGCATACAGGGCTTTGACATAGTGAGATGGCGATGCCGGATTGGTTGATGTTGAATGGTGTGAATGAAGCACAGGGAAAAAAATGGGATGATGGAAGTGGGGGAGGGATGGGTGGTGGTAATGTGAGAGAATGTTGGTGGTGCTGTAAAGATTGGTGTAATGAGATGATAATAATTAGTGTTGATTGTTTGTACATATCTTGGACTGAAAATGATCATATTTCTCTATGTGCCTTACCCACACTGCCGGGGCTTTGCTAAAGTAACAACAAGGGAATGTTGGCCTATCAAATTCTCAACAGGAAGAATTGCTAATAATGGAAAATAAATTTTCTTCTACTTGTGTCTTCTTTCTTGGGAAGGTGGCTATGCATGGAGCACCCCCTTGCTTTTTATGATTATCAAGATTAATTCAATTATATTATCAATTAATTCCTCCCTTCACTGTGAATACTGAGTGCCATAAGACATTTCACAGAAGAACAAGTATCTAACAAGCAACAATAGGCTAAATTGCTTTAATGAAATTAAGAAATATGTTTGAAATATTTGTTCATGATTTGTATATTATACAGATCTTGTTTCTTCATATGCATAAATAGAAATGTGTAGAAAAGACAAAAAGTTCAAAACAATGATGGTGGAGGCAAAATGAAAGAAAGACCCCTATGGTTCCTTCTTTTAAAAAAATTCAAGCAGTGGGGAATTGGGTTATTCTTAGGCTGAGAGTTTGAGATTCATGCATCTTTCTTGCTAAGGACACCTTTCTTATGTTCTAAAATATAAAATATAACTTAAAAATCCAAATTACCTGTTCTAAAACAGTCTGTTTTGCCATTGTATCAGCCTCCAACCTCTCTATTTTACGGATGAGTTTATTAACTTGGAATTCTTGTTCCTGTTCCAATGTTTGCTCTAGATGTGCCTTTTCATTTCGTAGCTACCACAAACAATATATAATATATATAATTATATTCTGGTCTCAGTTCACTTGGTACATTTTAGACAATCATTACCAAGCTACATATGTGATGAACACACGATATTTACACATCTAAAAACCCCTTTAAAGGTTTGACACATACCATTGACATCTTTATGGCAAACACCAACAATTTTTTGTTGATCAAAAGCACATGCCCAAATTATATCAAAATCACAATTTACAGAATCTGACTTTCGAATAACTCACTCAAATGTGAATTTGATCCAGCAAAATATATTTGGTGTTTTAATACTCATTATCAGTTTGCACAATAAACATCTAAAACATTTTAAATCAACAAACAAACAGAATCAAATAAACTTTTCATAAATCTGCTAAAAAATTGAAACATAGGATTTTCTTACACTGAGTCTAACATACAACAGAAGAGAAACAAAAAACTAACTTTCAAAGCAACTAGCTTTGAATAACAGGAAACAGTATACAAATTTTCTTTTGGGTACAAAGAAATCAATTTTTATTGAATGCTACTCGCATGCTACTTACTTGTGACAGTTTCTTTGAAAGATCATTGGTAAGATATTCTTCCTCTTGCTCATAATTCATAGCAAGTATTTCTTTCTCTTTTTTCAAAGCCTGTATTTTCTTCATTAAAGTATTGGAAATGAATTCTTCTTCTTGTTCTGCCTTTGCTTGCTATTAAATCATAAAAGGAAACGAAACTTATCAGAAACTTCATCATAGATACATCTTACTCAGCATACAAAATCAATGAATTTCCTTAGCCAAGGTAGGCTGAACATTATTGTCTTTGGACATCCTTGCTTCACCAGCAGCAGCTGCCCATCCGATAACTTGATAAATTGCCACCCAACTGTTGGTGGTGGCAAACTAAATTTTGATGCACATTTTCTAACTGCTGAATCACGTAGTGCTTATTTAAAATTATTTCTTTTAAACGTAAAATTTCCTCAAACTCACAACAATATCTATCATAGCTGCGAAAATAGAACAATTGGCAAGTTTTTCTACTTTACTCAATTCTAACAAATTGCTCAAGTAAGCTTTTGACCCAATCTTCCGACTGGAAATCCCAGCAAAAACAAAAAATGTGTTTACTTATAGTTTGTTCGCTCCTTCTAGCCATGACTGATAAAACAATAGAATTAAGCAAAGCAGCAGCTGCTGCGAGTGTTCATGCACACAATTATTCTTGTATTTACAAGTAGGGTTCCACCTTCGGAGAACTGCATGCCTGCGATTCGGCATTTTCACTTTCATGAAACTAACTCGCCAGAGAAAAGATAAAGTTTAACTGGGAAAACAGTAACTTACAATTGAAACACTTGCTTGTCTCAGTGCCTTGTTTTCTTCCTGCAACGATTTCGTTCTCAGTTTGTACATCTCTAGCTCCATTTTTAAGACACGATTTTCTTGGTGAAGGCTGGCGATTCTGTTACCATCTTGAGTCTTCCCGTATTGACTTTCATCAGCACTCATGTCACTGTCGGAGGCAGGCAAGGCCTCTGATGAAGAGTTAAGTGAGTTAGATGCCATCTCCCATAGTTTGCAAGAACAAATAAAATTGCTTACTCGTATGTTAAGAGTATCCAATATACTGTTCAAGGTGTTCGAAGCACGCTTTCGCCATGACACAAATAAACAACTTCACACTCGAACATGGTTCCTCATTATGCTCACTCAAAGAATCTGGGCATCAATCTATATTTTTGGCGGGTAATTCAAATTTTCATGACTGAGGCTTCTTTCATCATATAGGCACTCCGTCGTATAACAACGTAAAAAATAGGGGCTGCAGGGGCGAAGCCAACAATTTTTCTTCGGGGGCTGCAGGGGCGAAGCCAACAATTTTTCTTCGGAGGCGTACAGAAATGATTTTGGCGGACAAGAAGGGCGTGTCTCATTCTTTAAGGGTGTGGTCATAAGAGAGCTTTTTCATGCGTTTCTATTTCAATGCCATACTTTGAAAGTTCAACTACTAAAAAAATGTTAATACGTTTTAATTGTTGCTAAAAGGTTACGAATACCAAAGGGTGAGAAAAAATTTCTTCTTTTGCCTGACAAAAACCCTATATGGGACGACAGTCAAAATGTTGAGGGTACAGCACCCACCAGTACTCCTCTTTGGTGGCACCCCTGAAGGGCTGCTTCACGTAGAAACCATTTAACCACCGAGTTTTTTCTTATATGAAAACAGTGGAAAATGCTCAAAAAGATAACCTTGATTGGGGTAGAGCAAAACAAATAAATGAACAAAGAAGTAAATATTTAACTACTAACAGGGGTCCCATCATTCTCCTAGAAAGTTTTTTAACAACTAAAATTAAATGAAATTTAAAACTTCTGAAATTCAGCTTTTTTCAATCAAGCAGATGCAACAATTTAAGAAGTGAAACTCTGTTATCACTCTACACATAGCTACTTCTTCATTGCATTGACATTTGCTTATTTCTTTCTAACTTCTTTCCTTTGGCTAAAAATATGCCATGTCCTGTGTAATTTATGAACAGAGAAATCTATAATTTATTAGTGTTTGTTCCCCTTGTCATTGGCGCATTGCAGTGTTTCTTATCTTCAAAATTTTAATTCATTAATGTTTGTCCCGTTTATAAAATTATTATTACGACCAATTGATTCACTAGATTTAACAATTTAAAAGTTTTCTCTATTCAGTGTAAAAATCTGTGTTTTTTTATTTAGGCACAAAAATTGATATAAAAGGAAGAGATATAACAAAAATATGTGTATAGATGTTCTGCAATATCTTATGAGAAATATGTACAAGTCTAAAATATGTACATGATAAAATAATTTGATAAGACAAAGAACCTTGATCTAAACTTAAAACTAAATACATTTCACCTAGCAACCTGCAAAATGCAAAAAAATTAAAAAATAAAAGAGAAGCAATGAGGTGTTAAAAACAAATCAAATGGAAATGTGTCAGTAAGCACTAGCATGGTGGTATCAAGGCCAGGTTCTGAACTTGCTGAATTTCTAAAGGTTAAATAAAAAATTTGGAACATATACACTGGTATTGATTTCAGAATTTAGGGTATTGATTTCAGAATATAGGGTACTGAAGTGCAGTTTTAGTCTTATACAGGAGCCTTGTGGCATTAAAACCTGCTTGGCTTCTTCTACTATGAAAGGTTTCTTTTGACTTTTTCTAACATCGAGATATTTAAGGAACTGAAAGGGCATGAAAAATCTGAACTTGAATTGGAAATGAGTGGCGATTAGCTAAAAAATTACAAGTTCTTGAAGGATAGTTACTCAGTGATTTGGAAATAAATGGTCCTGAAAATTAAAAGTCCCAAGGCTTAAACATTAAAAAATTGATGAAAATTTCTTGTGTTATCCACAAAACAGGAGGCTGGGTAATAAATGGACCTCTAGAGAGCAACATGACAATTAACCTATGTTAATTTCACAAGAATACAGCAGACACTGGCTACAGATGTAAAGAGAGAAAGAATTTGTGCAACATTAAGGCTGGAGCCACAGACCATCAGACTGTCACAAGGACCTTAAAATCATGTAAGAATTCAATTCCAAAATAAGCCAATAAATGATCATTATTCTAAAAACTGCAACAGCAGAATCCTTTTAATACCAAGTAAAATTTAGAATCCAAATGGTCCAAATTGTGATCAATGGTTATCATGCCTTAAAATTGCACAGAGTTGTGGAAATGATAAAAATGAAAATAACAATGAAGTTCTGAAAATATTTCTCCTGTGGAACTGCTTGTGTCTTGAGAGGTCATTAATGAAGAGCAACCAAGCACTCAGTTGCACCTTACAAGCTGTTCCATCTCAGATCATCCAGAAATTTCAGTTGTGATGCATTACCAATGTGATGCAAACAAATATCTTCATGTTATGCGCTATCACCTCTTTTGTAAAGAAAGTCTCCGTAATCTATCTTTACTTTTCTTTGAACCAATATAATTTTTACTATTCTTTTTTCTTTTTGGAGTAACATTTGTTTCTGTTCTTATACTTGGACAAGCACCTTCATTGTGTGCTTCAATAGTTCTGAAACAATCAACACAAAATGTCTCATTACATCCTTCGCAAGTTGATTTGTGGGTATCCAAAATCTTTGCTGGTGAATTGCATTTTGGGCAAGGTCTATATTTATAAGAACTTATATCTTTCTTTTGCATTTTTGATGCACTTGAAGGGGTGATTTCCAAAATTGATTGCGCTAATTCATGTGACATTTTCTGTTGTCCAACATTCTCCTACAAAACAATTTTCAAATTAATTGAGAAAAGATAATGAGCCTCAAGGATACAAATAAAAGATTAGTAGTTTTAAAGCATTCCTCTGCAGGTTTAACCCTGGAAAGTACTTACATTGAACATGAAAACTCCATGCAACTGCATCTAGATACACACAATCTTTTATCAGAAGCCACTTTGAAACATACTGCTTGTTTCAAAGGATGTTTGATCTAAATATGAATGCTTAAAACTTCCAGCAGGTATTCTAGATGTTTTTACAAATTTCATTCAAAATTTTTAATAAATTTGAAAAAATCATACAATCAAACAATGCATATGTTATATACAAAACATAATTCTTCAACTGGATGAACAATCCAAAACTTTTGAATAATATTGCTGCAATGAGTTACTAAAGAAAAAACCAAGAAAGTGGTGGCCAAAAGAAATGTAAACTTATGTTAATTGTTTGGCTAACCATGAAGTATGTTTATGACATCAAACTTGCATTACTGTATATATATATAATATATATACTATATTATATATATATATATATATATATATATGTATATATATATAGAAATTTGTCTTTTGATACTTCCGTAGCACAGTGCTCAATACGTTAGCACGTAGAGCGTGATATATCATAGATTGAAGAAAGTGAAACTACATGGTTTATCTCTACAAGCCTGTTTCATGAGTAACTCACTCTTCAGGAGACATCTCCTGAAGAGTGAGTTACTCACGAAACAGGCTTGTAGAGATAAACCATGTAGTTTCACTTTCTTCAATCTATGATATATATATATATATATATATTCCAATTTAGTTTCAAAATGAGTTGAAATTCTGGATCCACTGGAAATGAAGTAAAATGTAAAAAAGATGATTACCTTTCCTTTTTCTTCACAATATCGTCTTTTTCTTGAAATAAAATCGGATACGCGTGTTTTTGAAGTATGCTCAACATTTTGAATAATGCTCCGCCATTTTCTGCAAACAAGTGTGGCTCTGAAATTTAAAGGGGATAAATTACTAAAGGCTTAGAAGTTCCTACATTTTCAAAAAAATTACAAAATGTTAATGGTACAAATTTTAGCAGCAAGTTTATAAATAAATATAATTTGAATCGAAATAAGAAGACCTGAATAAACCGTCTATTTAAAATAAAGTGCTGTTCTTAAATGAGAGGACGACAAGACAGCGATTGAATTTAAATCTGGTCCAGTCTGGTATCAGATTTAATGAAAACCACAAGCATATAAATAAAAAAATCACAATCTTCTACCAAAGATTTAGTACCCGTTAAAATATGTTTAAGCGTCAAGCAGTAAGTGAGTTATCCGCTGGGGTAGATATCGTGCTATACCCAGGGCCTAATCAAACCGCGGAAAGGCGGGCGAATCTGGTCTTCTTACCTGAAGAGGGATAGGTCGTCCAAATAGTTGAAAATTGTTTTAAAAACAGTATGCACTGATCCTTCATATAATTTGCCTATTATATCAAATCTGTATTCTTCATTGAACTCAATTCCAAAGTCTAACGGAATAGCTCCTGTTCCTCTTGGAAAAAAAGGGGCTCTTCGCGACCGGTCTTCCGACGAGCTTCCACCGGAGTATGGTGGGGTGAAGAAAACACTCGAACTGGCCAATGTCCTAGTTACAGGCGTGTTTGAGGACAACAACGACAAACATTTCGAATCTTTTTTAACTGCCTTATCGTTCTTTTCATTTTCACCCATGATAAAAATATTCAACTTCAGGATCAATCTTTCAATATGCTCAACTAACATGTTTCGCTCATCCAAATTTGCGCCCGCTCACTCCATCCTTTCAACATCGAATGCGCGCCATTTCAGTGCCTCGGAATCAAAACAAACCGCTTTCGAAAATTCAGCCAATCAGAGTTGCAGAATAATAAGACAGGGAGCCACAAAGTGGATTTCCGATTGTGTTGTAAGAAAGGGTGCCATTTCCGAGGAGATCCCGGCGGGGCAAGATCGCCCTCATTACAAAGACTAGATAATTTACTAGGTGATAACATACCATGTGACAAACATTAACTTCAATAAAAACTTTTTATTTCTACAATCAATTAGAAGATCACACCAACTGCGTGAAATTAGGGGGTTTTATCTTCTGGTAATTTGATATGTTTCCGATAGATCATAGTCAACAGAAAAACTCAAGACAGATCATAGTGAAGCTTTCTACAAGGGGATATACAAGCTACTTGTTGTTAGAACGGGCTCCGCAGACATCCCTTCAGTGTAGTGCGAAACAATCACTTTTCTATAGTGCGAAACAATGAAGTCAGTAAATTCTCTGACATTAACAAAATTTCGGTGTTATAGAGAAAAGAATAAAGTAAATAGACCCCCCTCACGAAAGTGTCCTAACAGTCTCGAATTCAGTTGCAAATCTGCTGTTAGAGAAATATGTTTACAAATTTCAAACAATTTTTTCTTGAAGTTTTTTTGGCCTCTAATCTATTTATTCGTCAAAAAAATAACCTTATCGATATGTAAGCAAACTCTGTGCGGGTTTTTCCTCAAGATGGTAGCGACGGAAAGAAAATAATTGACTTCTGAGCAGTGTCTAGAAATAATGCTTTATCAAAATGATGGAAAAAAGCTATCATTAAATTGCTAGTATCATTGGATGCACAAAGACTGCCACTTTCGAGATATGCAAACAAATTTAAAAAACAAGAAGTCTAACAAATTGCTCACGGTCAAAAAGAGCAAGAGCTCTTGCAACACCAATGTTTGAGAGTTCCGCCCTAACCAAATTTGCATCAAAACTGGCTTTCATAACATTACGCAAAATTGCATCAAATGTTCACAAACAATTTAACTTTCAAAAACTTTCGATAATTATTGCAAGGAAAATGATAAAGAATTGTGAATGTACCCTTGTACCGACCGATTTCAGCAAGGCTTGCAGCGGTAAAGAAATAATATGGCTTTATGGCCCTGCACTGAATGATCTATCTGCTTTGTAAGAAAGTTTTTGACCTGATAAGATAATATCAAATGTCATCCATGTTTTATAATCGATCGGTGGCATCTTCATGCAAAAATTTTTCCCAACTGAGAGTAAACACGTTGTATTTTTCCTTTTTCGAAACTATTTGTGTCTCAAGAACCATTTTGTAAAAAATTACCAGGTTTTATTGGCCCATTTTAACTGAGTCCAAGTCACCTGACTTTGCTGTTCTTTGCTTATTTGACATCAGTTGATTTGCGTAAGGCTTGTAGCGCAAAGGCTTCTCATTTTAACAGAAAATAATAACGGATAAAAGCGCAGAAGTTTTGCAACATTTTAATGTCTTGGCTTATATTGGAAAGGTTTCTCAAAAAATTATTATCACTAAATCAAAGAGTCGTTATCACCAACCTAAACTGTCCGGGTACTTTCGTGAGGGGAGTGTAAAAATGATAAGACAACATGTCAATATGACCATTAATTTTCATCAAACGTTTTACTTGTAAAAACAAACTTAAAAATCATAGACGAATTCGATGAGTAATGTATCGTTGCTTTGTTGAGCCCACTAGTTGCGTAACATTTATCTAACTCCACTCCTGGTGGCTTTTTAACGGGTTGTTTATTTAAAAAGGGTACTTCTCATATATCAAATGAAGAAAGCACAAATGACGAAGTATTAAAATCGTATAAGGACGCCGAATAAATTTGCTCCAAAAATCCCGAAACATATACAACTAAATTTATAAAAAGACTGGTCAATTCCATTAAAGCTTATGCCCTTAAACCATATAATTAACAAAGGAGATATGAAAACTACATAACGTTCGTGCAAAATGACTATGCGATTTAACATAAGAAAATACGATTAATCCAGCCACAAGGGTTACCCTAACTACAGCTAGGGTACCCTGGGTACCAGACTCGCTATATAAAATAATAGAGAGTCTGGTCTAGTGCGCCCCATTCTCGTTCTGGAGAACTTACTTGAAAGAACTGAAGTCTATTTAACAGACTAGGCCTGTGAAACAAGACTGTCGGATAAATAACAAAGATACTCAGTAGCAGTGGCGTAGCGTCCGGGTATTCAAGGTATTCAGTGAATACCCTGAGATTTCTCAGAAAAAATATTAATACGACGTATAATTGTAATAAGTAAAAAATGTTTTGGGGCTATTGATTCTGGTTGAATTCGTTACCTTCAATATTCTACATTTTGTACAAGTACAAAATATCACGAAATTCATGGCAACAATAACGCTGCGAAGCATAGAGAAGCTGGGGGATCTTTGAGACCCCGTTTACACTGTCCCGTGCAAGTTTGGAACCGTGACAAAACTGTCGCGGTTCGCCCTTGCGTTTACACTAGCACTGTGGAACCGTGACGATTTTGCTCTGCTATCCGGAACAGTTTTGACCCTGCTTTGAAAGCGAACGAATTTTGTACCGTCACGGTTCCGTTTTTGAACGGGACAGTGTAAACACCTATCCGAGACGATTTTGTCACGGATTCACAAAGAGGCCTTTTGTATGGCTGTTTCAGGTAATCGAGGCTTTGATTGTGGCGTAACTACGTTCTCAAATTCTGAAGAAAAGGAAATTCTGAAGAAAAGACGACCACAGAAAAGGCTTGTAGTGTTTCCCAGTCCAAGCCTTGATTGGACTTTGCAGTTTTGTAGTCTAAAATAACACTGAAAATTAAAGCCACCTTGTCTTTCGTCCAAGTAAAGTTTTAATCGGCCTTCCGCTCCATTTTAACTCACAATAAAAATTCGATTGTTGACTTCAGCGGCAAAATAAAAGCCTTGGTTGACTAAATACAGCTTCTTCTAAACAATGTTCTACCATTAAATTAAGGTCGTACCGGTACAGTGTAAACGGAACGGCTAAACGGAACAATTTGGAACCGCGACAGTGTAAACACTTGCGAACCGTAACGGTACAAAATTGTCCCGGGACAGTGTAAACGGGGTCTGAAGCTAATTTTGAAGATTGAGCTACTTCATGTTGTATGGAGATCGGTCATGAATACGCAGTGAATACCCTAGACGGTACTTTAACCAATCAAAATGCTCCTTTCCATGAATAATATTTGCCGTTAATCAGCTAAAACAATGGTTCTGTACGCTGAGAAATATGCAGCGTACAGCCTCAAAGTTGGTTCAAAATAGTCTCGTTATGAGATCGATATAAACAGTTAATGGACGTCGGAGCGGTTGGAGTGATGGAGCTGCATCGAAAACAGTAAACATGACTTAATTAAAAAAACTATTGCAATGTCTGTATTACTGTTTCATAATCATTCTCTCATTTTACCCCTAATCTTAATCTACCAACAGCAAAGTGGAAAGAGAAGGTAGGCTGCTACATAATACTACACTGATTCAGATCTGTTCCCTCTTGAAATGCCAATTTGTTATTGCTTGCCAATCAGGGATGTTTCTGTTTGTATTATGTGATAGAATTAAAGTAAATGCAGATAGGCCTATTTGCATTATTTGCATTATTGTGCAGTCTCGTCTCATTACCTTCGATTCTTTCAAATATTAACTTGTATTGAAAATATTACGATTAGACCATGAAGAAAAAGTCTATACTGCATAGCACAAAATCATTTATAACTCATGTAATGCCCTATGAGAATAATTTTGAAACTTTTGAAAGCCCTTTTGTATTAAGGTATCAAGAGTAGGTGTTTACAGTTACTTCCTCTTTACATCAGTGCAAATGTTAGACGATTTAACAACAACTATTGGGACATATTTCGACCAGTAAAATTTTACTGGCTTTCAATGATATGTTTTGATTTGAATTACTTTTGATGAAATGGTTAATAGTAATATGATGCAATGAATGAGTTCGAAGAGTATATTTGAAGGGTCCTTTAGCAAAGTATTGTTTTTATCATAGCAATGCCCTGACAGTGCAGTACTTGCCAACCAAACCAAAAAGAAAATTAGATAAAATGTCAATAGCTAGTCCTTTTAATCTTCCTACTATCCCCCTATTTTCATCAAGCCGCATCGAGCCACACCCTGCCCCACCCTTTTGATTAATAGAGAATACCCAGTTGAAAAAGTCACGCTACGCCACTGCTCAGTAGTCGGAGGAGTTTTGGGAAATCTTAAAGCCAATGTATTTTATATAGTTCTGTAAAGTTGACATTATTAATACAGTGATAACAGACTTTTCTGCCTCAAGATTCCTATCAAATCAGGTGTAAAACGCCTTGGCAGCAAAAAGCATATGCGAAGCATGATATTAAGTTTACACAATGCAGTTATTAAATGTTAATCATTGTTAAATTTCGCATACAACTTAAAATAAGACTTTTGTAATTTTCCACACAAATTGTGTGTACTTTCAGTCTACTTCCTCACTGTGAAGGCAGCGCGCTTGGACACCCCGGCGGTTAGAATCATCACGTTGGAAGTTCGCCACAGCAAATATGGCCAATATGACAAGCGAAGCCCCGTATGCCGGGGGAAATATTACCCATAACTGATTTACTTGTGTTTGTTGTTGTTTGTTCTCGGCGCTTTCCGGTGTTTCTTATTTAATGCATTTCACTACAAGGCCTAATTTCTTTGCAATGAGAGGCACTACCTGAAATATCAGAGACTTTCCAAAGCCAGTTGGCAATATGGCGAAGGTGTCTCTTCTCTCTACAAACAAGGCTTTCAATGTTGTTCTGTGTTAAGTTCCACAACATGCGGAAAATATTCTTTGAGTACAGTTTTAACAGCATCTTCTAACTAAATCGTTACTGTCGCTAGCAATTATTTATGTTGTGTTCTGTTCAATGTTTTACACCAGAGCTAAGTTTATTGTTTCGCTGTGACCTTTGAACGTACAGAAATCTGTACACTCGATCCTGATTGGTTAATATAAGCACACCAGAACGAGAATGGGGCGCACTAGACCAGACTCTCTATTTTATTTCATATATAGTGAGTCTGGTACCCAGGGTACAGCTAGGGATACCCGTATTATTAGGTCAACTCCACCGACTATGACCAGTGCCCCCTTTAAGCTTTGTGCTCCTGATCCTTGCGTCCAAGTTACCAGGTCTCTTAGGTGTTTTAAAAACGTTAATGCGACAAAGCTTCTAGTAGCTAGTTTAAAGATTTCATCTCCATTTCAGTTCTGTTTAAATAAGTGTAGAAAAATTGACAATCGCGATTAGTCGAATAGTTACGGCCTAGTCACTTCTTTTGCCTATACCCCACCGATTCACACTGTTATAAGAAAAAGAGTAAAAAATCTCTTCTAAAGAAAACAAGGCATAAAAAACTAGTAGCTAAGATGCAAGAAAACTATTCTATTTTGAGAGTGTATCGAATTGTGTGACGTAGACCCTCTGAAATACAATAGCCGTAACGTCAATACTGCGTTGCTATGTGTATCCAAGGGTTGTCAAGTAACATGTAGGAATAATCAATTGACGTAAAGTCACTCAAAGCACCCCAAACACCCCAAGAAAAGAATTCGCAAGTCATTTTGAGGCCAGGCAGAAACCGAGGTGCAGCACATTTAAAACTCAAATGAACTCGAGATATTTTCTTCTTGAAGATGTAGAGTCTTTAAGAAATAAAAACAATACAGAAAAAAATAAGGAAAATAAGGTACGTGCTTCATGATGATTATGTAAACAACATTATCCTAATTGATAATGTCTAAAAATTAAGAATGCTACAATTAAATAAAAGTATAAAAAACGTAATCTATTAAATGTCTTACAAGAAAGAATCAAGTGTTTACAATAATCAAGGATATTCCTAAATGATACTTTTTAATTAATTTTTTATTTATTAATAAGCTTACAATTGTGTCATCCAATTGCAAAACGAGAATTCATACGATTAGGAAAACAGTGGCTATCTATCAAATAGTCCCACAGTTGACCAATACATAACTTCTAAAGGGATTAAATAGCTCATCGATGGCTTTCACTCCAACAAATCTCCTGGGTCTTAGAACAAAAGTCCTAAACTGCCTATTCTAAACGAATCAGCAAATTTTGTAAACACAGTTTTTCAAATTTCTTTTAGAACATCTGTAATTCCAGAAGATTGGAAGACAGCAAGATTAACCCTTCTTTTAAAAAAGACCGCAAGGTTACTCCTCTTTATTCAATCAAATAATTCTATCAAATTATTCATAGCCATCCTCGGCCATTTTGTATGCAACCTTATTTCAGACAAGCAGCAGCAGTCTTGTATGCAATATGTGCTAGCATGTTTAGGCTGAGGTTACAGAGAAATTTTCAGCCAACAGCTACCTCTCAATGCTAGTCTAACCCTCTCTGGCTGCCTATTCTTTATCATTCCAACGTAGCCTGGGGGGGGGGGGATCTTATGAAGCACTTACAGATTATCCCCAGAATAACGCTCCAAGAACCATATTAGACAATGCAAAGTATTTTTCTGCTACCCAGGCTCCTCAGCAGTTAAACTGGGATCCTCTATTTGCTTGCCGACTACATTATCGCTGTATTGCTGTCTACCAATGACGACACAACTTTACAGACTTTGATTTCCACTTTACCAAAAATTAATCGGTACACAATCATAACACACGCTTCCACCAGGACTTGCATTTACACAAATACGTAACAGTTTAGGATAACAGCGAATTATGTTTCATTCCACCTCCAAATCGAACAATTTAAAGATATCCAGATCAATTTTATACGGTTTATATCTTAAGTTCACAGATTATTGTAAACAGTAATAGCTTGTCTTTACTTAAAAATGGAACTTTTACTTTCAATTTATGTAGTATACCCATTTACTTTTAACAGGACCTCTCTGAAACGCCCCGGCGATAGGAGCTTTTTGTAGAAACAATTTTATGATTATCAGTACGTATCTTGTTATCCAGTCAAACGTGTACTTATCCAGTTATGCTTCTTCATTTGATAAATTACACAATGTGTTAGACCTAGCAAATTGTATAGATTATAATAATAATAAAAAATTGATGAGGCGGTTCTTGACTTTGGAGGTTGTGTAAATGATTTGTGTACGACGAGAGCTTTAAATGCGAAGAAGGATGTGACTGACTCAGCAAATGATAAAAAAATAAACACGTAGGTCCCGTGGAATAACATACTTTAATTTATTTGCATAGAATAGAATCCAATGTTAAGAGAAAAGCGCAGCAGATGAAAGTTCCATTTACTACCAAATCTATATTGATAGTATTGATCAAAAGTTAAAGTTGCCACTGCCATCGCTAAGCAGCGAAATAGGGCATATGAAAGAAAAACTTTTTGTGGTTGGGCTCGTATACCAGACGTACTAAGTTCCCTGGCACTCCGAGCCAGCGAGGGTATCTTATTCTTTGATACTTAAATCTCTGCTTTCTTGTTATTTCAGCAAGTTACTCTTCTTATAGAACACGAGTATCGATGGCTTCTCTTTGACGCGTGTAGCAAACTATTGAATCAAAATCTAAATCAGTAAGTTATGATCTCACGCAGCATAGAAAGCATTCAAAATTCCTCTTGGAATTTTTGTCAAGTTTGCTCTGCCTTTGGACGAATTCTTCGGGAAGCAGAATGATTGGAAAAATGTTTTCATAGTTAGAAGTAAAGCGGCCGTGCGAAGGAAAGTCACTACACAACAAGCTTGGTCAAAAAGATTAGCACAGATATTATAAAGGTGTCAGGAGAAGATTTCTAGAAAAAAATAGAGCGATAAAAAGAAATTACATTTTAAAACGTTTTCCTTGTGAAGAGAATCGAGTTGATTGTCACGGAGAAATGTATCGACCCAACAAGCTACTACTATAACCAACCATGCAGCAAAACATTGCCTCTTGGAAAGGCTTTTTGCCATTGAGCAAGCTTAAACAAAACAGTTTAGTTGTGGAGTGATAATACACCGAATACTTTAACAGTTGAACTGGTATCCATGGAAAGAGCACGTTGCGTTAAGGTCACGTGACGGAGAAAACACCAACAGAATTGTTAAAATGACAACACGCGTTTTCTGCATTCGTGGAAGCGCTCGACCAATCATATTTCGAAACGAAAACACACTGTAGCTTGAAAATACAGATAAAAGCGAGATTGAACAGACACTCTTCCCTTCGAATCTCTTTCAGCACTGTAACGCTGTCAGCGCAATACGAACACCAAGATGTTGAGTTGTGCACTGATTCTCGCATTTGTTCATTACTCACTGGCTTTATTTGGTGGAGGGGCAAGCCATGAGAACATCGTTCATTTAAGGAAACTTGGATTTGATGAGGACCATACAACAATGTCGCACGAAGTCGTAATACCGTGGGTGAGGCCATTCAAACCTGGGTACTGCACCAGTTGGGAATGGCATACAGACAAGCGCTACCGCGACGAGCGAATTGCACTTTGCCAACAACTCAGTGGAGGTGAGTAGGAATGCTTTTGTGCGTTGAAAATTGCAACTTCATGGACGACGATTATTTCTGGATATGCAAATGTTACGATTCTGGATAGAAGCACAAGAAGCCAATATCACAAAACCTAGGCGCAAAAATACATAAAATATCTTTTTCTCGGCAAAATTTTTACACAGAGCTGAAATCGTCCCGGCCAATTGATCGAAAGAGGTCTTTCTAGGTTTTAGGGCTTCCAAGATCAACAAAAACATATATCTATAGCCGGTTGCATGTTAAATAAATGTTCGCAGATTTCGATTTTCACCTTACTTTTAGAGAAATAGATGTACTGTTAAGCTTAGATATTTTTTTTGCGGTACATAATTTGAAAATGGCTTTGAAAAAAGCAAACATTTTACGACATACTAAAAGCTTTTTCGTCTGACACTCCTCAGAGCATAAAACGTCAGAATAGGTTCCGAAAAAACACAATGGAAAAATATATACCCAGTTGTGGATCGAAATAGGCCAATCAGAAAAACGCAAGCACAAGACCGGTATAGTTGACCAATCAGTGCCGCGAGCCTAAAGAAAAATTACCAATGGAGTCCAAGAGAGAAAACAAACTCCTTTTGTCTACACAATGGCGGCTTTTTCGTTTTTATGTAGATTGACTCCAAAACTGCTAGATGGAAGGACGACCGGGCTCTGCCAATTATCCGAAACTTTTAGTATGTCGTAAAATGTTTGCTTTTTTCAAAGCCATTTAAGCTTAGATATGAAACTTTACATGTGTTACCATCGCAACGTGGTAGTTTATGAAGAATGCCCAAAACTCAAAAGCGTGGCACGTGCTCTCTTTTATACAAAAGCTTATTGTAATGAAAACAAACGTCGTGTCTACATCGGTTTGTTCCTTGCAGAAAAGAAACACGAATGCGATTCGTCTGACGGACTCTGCTACGACAAATGCCCTTTTAAGAATGGCACCTTCCCCTTCTGGAGAATACGCAATGCTGACGAAGTGCCATTCCTGTGGACCATTAAGACCCTTCAAATGTTCGACAACCCAAATGCAAGATACCCATTGACGAGAGACCCATCTAAAGGATATTCAAGCACATTTTTCGGACCAGGTGAGTGTTCTCCATTCTCAATACTGCATCCATGAAATGACGTTAAATATCTACTTTAGTTTGCGTATTGCAAATCTTTCATTAGGAAATACACAGAAGTTAACTCGGAAATTAAAATGACTTTTGGCGAGTGCAGTGAATCCGACGCGACAGCTCTTGTGCTTTGGCGAAAATGCTTGCACACTGCAGAAAATTGTTAAGTTTTCGAAAAGTCATCTCTGACATAGAGTTTACAGAAGATTCGTGAAGCTAGAGAAAAAGAAATATAATTATCAAGGAACCTTTTTCTATTCTAGCAAATAATACGATTTAAGCTGCTCAGCCAAGAATTTAATGGAAGAAGCATGCCAAAAAATTTTGTAAAAGATATCTCGGTGAAGATTGTTGCTTTATTATCAATATGGGAACTCTGCATATTTTAATACATTAGGGTGAAACTGCAAAAAACTCTGTGTGATATGAAATATTTTTTTCGATCCATCCCGACTAAAAGAAAACATTGTTTCCTTTAAAAGGCTACTTCCCAAGTAACGCGTTTGACAACAACGCAGACAGCATATGGGTTTCAAATGGAGTTTCAGCACCCGGATTGAACTGGATTGCTTATGAATTCGAGCATCCTGTTCAGATCAACTCAATTCGCATTGTGGGAGAAGGAGAGCACCCAGATCGCACACCAGGGAAGATAATCGTTGAAGCATCTTGCGAAAAATATTTCCGCACATTCAACACTCAATGGGTGATCGACAACCCAAAACACTTCACCGACAAACGATTCAACAGACCCAAGAGAAGAAGCTAAGCGACTCAATATTCTAAATAGTTTGTCTTTACAATTCTTCGGACTTTTCTTATTTTCAACATAACTTATTTCTTAATTTCACCCGTGGACTACATCAATGATGCCGACAATAAGATTAGAATTCAGATGATCTAATTGAAAGAGGACATTTCTTTGCAAAATTGAAAAATTCCATCATCGAAAGATTTTATTACAGTACATTCATTCATATCAAATTTTTTGTCAGTTCATGCTCAAATCCGTCTTCCACAACCTTAACTTAAAATTCTTCAACATAAATCTACCTGAATCGTCAAGAATCTCAATCAAAAACTGTCAGTTAACACAACCGTTCCTATCATTTCCTCTATAGGCACAAAATAGGGCGTTTAATAAATGTGTCGGAAAAAATGTTTCATTAAGAAGCTCTGCTATTCTTAACGTAAATTAATAGAAAACTACTACCAAAAATATCACATACTATAGTAATTTTCAAAAGATCATTACAATTCAACACAAAACTGGTCCAATTTCTACCATTATTCACAATTAAATTAAATTCATCATATTCAATAAACAGAAACACATTAAAGAACATCTTTCTAATAAACGTCGCTTCATCCATATATCTTGTATTTCAAATCGAAATATTTTCGTTTCTTTCCATTTAGTTTCAAAGGAACAGTTCAATAACCCTAAATTCTCATCAAACTTCTATCTTTATTCACAGCATAAATTATTTGATTTTAACGAAAAGATATCAAACTGTACCTTTCCAGCCGAATTCATTTGATCCATACGTCAAATGTTTCAAATCACTTTTCATTTCATTTCATACATCACACAAAGTCATTTCATACACTTTTTGAAGATTATTACAACATCACTTAAATCTTGTCAAACCTCTTCCATTACTCACAGCACATGTCATTTCATTTCCACCCCAACACATCAAAGTACATCTTTCCGATCAACTTCGTTTTATCCATATATCATATGTTCCAAATTCAATCGTTTCTTTTTTTCATTTCATTTAAAAAGATCATCGCAAAATCACTAAAATCTTGTCAAACCTCTTCCATTACTCACAGCACATGTCATTTCATTTCAACCCTAACACATCAAAGTGTATCTTTCCAATCAACGTCGTTTCATTCATATATCATATGTTCCAAATTCAATCCTTTCTTTTTTCATTTCCTTTAAAAAGTTCATAGCAACATCACTAAAATCTTGTCAAACGTCTTCCAACACTCACAGCACATGTCATTTCATTTCAACCCCAACACATCAAAGTACATCTTTCCAATCAACTTCGTTTTATCCATATATCATATGTTCCAAATTCAATCGTTTCTTTTTTTTCATTTCATTTAAAAAGATCATCGCAAAATCACTAAAATCTTGTCAAACCTCTTCCATTACTCACAGCACATGTCATTTCATTTCAACCCTAAAACATCAAAGTACATCTTTCCAATCAACTTCGTTTTATCCATATACCATATGTTCCAAATTCAATCGTTTCTTTTTTTTCATTTCATTTAAAAAGGTCATCGCAAAATCACTAAAATCTTGTCAAACCTCTTCCATTACTCACAGCAGATGTCATTTCATTTCAACCCCAACACATCAAAGTACATCTTTCCAATCAACTTCGTTTTATCCATATATCATATGTTCCAAATTCAATCGTTTCTTTTTTTTCATTTCATTTAAAAAGGTCATCGCAAAATCACTAAAATCTTGTCAAACCTCTTCCATTACTCACAGCAGATGTCATTTCATTTCAACCCTAACACATCAAAGTACATCTTTCCAATCAACTTCGTTTTATCCATATATCATATGTTCCAAATTCAATCGTTTCTTTTTTTTCATTTCATTTAAAAAGATCATCGCAAAATCACTAAAATCTTGTCAAACCTCTTCCATTACTCACAGCACATGTCATTTCATTTCAACCCTAACACATCAAAGTGTATCTTTCCAATCAACTTCGTTTTATCCATATATCATATGTTCCAAATTCAATCATTTCTTTTTTTTCATTTCATTTAAAAAGATCATCGCAAAATCACTAAAATCTTGTCAAACATCTTCCATTACTCACAGCACATGTAATTTCATTTCAACCCCAACACATCAAAGTACATCTTTCCAATCAACTTCGTTTTATCCATATATCATATGTTCCAAATTCAATCGTTTCTTTTTTTCATTTCATTTAAAAAGATCATCGCAAAATCACTAAAATCTTGTCAAACCTCTTCCATTACTCACAGCACATGTCATTTCATTTCAACCCTAACACATCAAAGTACATCTTTCCAATCAACTTCGTTTTATCCATATATCATATGTTCCAAATTCAATCGTTTCTTTTTTTCATTTCATTTAAAAAGATCATCGCAAAATCACTAAAATCTTGTCAAACCTCTTCCATTACTCACAGCAGATGTCATTTCATTTCAACCTTAACACATCAAAGTGTATCTTTCCAATGAACTTCGTTTTATCCATATATCATATGTTCCAAATTCAATCGTTTCTTTTTTTTCATTTCATTTAAAAAGATCATCGCAAAATCACTAAAATCTTGTCAAACCTCTTCCATTACTCACAGCACATGTCATTTCATTTCAACCCTAACACATCAAAGTGTATCTTCCCAATCAACGTCGTTTTATCCATATATCATATTTTACAAATTCAAGCGTTTCTTTTTTTTCATTTCCTTTAAAAAGATCATCGCAAAATCACTAAAATCTTGTCAAACCTCTTCCATTACTCACAGCACATGTCATTTCATTTCAACCCCAACACATCAAAGTACATCTTTCCAATCAACTTCGTTTTATCCATATATCATATGTTCTAAATTCTATCATTTCTTTTTTTCATTTCATTCAAAAAGATCATCGCAAAATCACTAAAATCTTGTCAAACCTCTTCCATTATTCACAGCACATGTCATTTCATTTAAACCCCAACACATCAAAGTACATCTTTCCAATCAACGTCGTTTTATCCATATATCATATGTTCTAAATTCTATCATTTCTTTTTTCCATTTCCTTCAAAAAGATCATCGCAAAATCACTAAAATCTTGTCAAACCTCTTCCATTACTCACAGCAGATTTTATTTCATTTAAACCCCAACACATCAAAGTACATCTTTCCAATCAACGTCGTTTTATCCATATATCATATGTTCTAAATTCTATCATTTCTTTTTTCCATTTCCTTCAAAAAGATCATCGCAAAATCACTAAAATCTTGTCAAACCTCTTCCATTACTCACAGCACATGTCATTTCATTTCAACCCTAAAAAAGTTTTTTTAACCGATTTCATGTGATCCACATGTCATACCTTCCAATATCAACCGTTTTAGTTCCATTTCAATTATTTTGCGACCAATCAGTGCAAGTGTTGCAAATTGTCCAACTACTGATATTTTTACAGCATATTAAAACTGACATAATCAAACTTCCATCATTTTCACCTAACTTCATTTCAGTCGCAAGCAAAGTACATCATTCTATTTAACATTTTTTGCATAAAATTGCCATGTCATACGATTAGTTTTAACTCAATGATAATCTGTTGATAATTATAATGATAATTATTCCCTATCTCTTCTGACATAATTTCCTATTTTGACTATTTTGTAATAGAAAGTAACAGACTCATTATCATAAATGTATAAATCATCGAATGTTTGTAATGTTGTGCTTACCACTCTTGAAGAATTTAGCAAATACATAGCATTGAGGAAGTTCGTTTAAAACTGATATTGACCGGTGTTGTCATATTGCTGGACGTACTGTATATCACAAGTAATGTATATCACACGTAATGTGAATCACACGTAATGTGAATCACAAGATCTTCAGGTGTTATTTCGCAAAGAGATTTATGAGATTGAATTGTAAACATACCTAGTTTCTATTTGCTTCGCCTGGAAATTCTTCTGGTTTTGTTGATCAGATCTTTATCCTGTTCTGGTAATCAGTTAAGGAGATATGCAACATCAGGAAGACCTGAAAGAAAATCGAGGTCATTCACAGTCGTGTATTGCAATATGGATCTGCATAATGTACCCGATACAATCTCAAAGAATAAACAACTTTTTGATTATCAAATAGAAAAATAATATCAAATTTAATACCAATTTGTATACAGAGGTTTAACAAGCGAGTCTGCAGCATTTTGGTGTAGATGACAACAGCGATTGCCAGTCCTTGAAATATCATTGAAATGGTTTATGAACAGGCCAGTTTGATATATTGTGTCAGCATATTAATTTTTTTTTCAAAGTTTATTTCCATTACTAAGTAAAAGTAAAATCCATTACTACAACCGAAAATATCTAGGAATTATAGGATATCACCCTTAAAGTTCGAAGGTGACCAATTGCAAAGTTTAAGCTTGAGGCTTTCCTCTTCATCTCTCCATTGTTTATACACCGTTTTACGGATGAATCGCCCATACAAACATAAAAATAATTCAACTGAAGGAACCTCAATAATGCCAAAAGCTGCTGCATGGGTAATGGATTTTCCATTAGAAAATATAATCAAGTAGGTCGCTTTCACGAAACAAGATCTTTCAGGGACGTTGTGTTCAACTCAGATGTTCTACCAAGAATAAAAAATAAATGAAATTCCTTCTTTGAAAGTCGAGGAGACACTCGGGTGCCGAGCCAAGACCATTTATTCGACTTACTTAAAATCAAAAGCATTAATCAAAATGGAAAACTCTTTCAGCACTCTTACAGGAAAACTCTAGGTTTTCAGAAGATAGCTTGTAGCAAAAGACAACAAATATTTCATTAAAAATAATTTCTTTAACTTCAAAATGAACTTGAAATGCTTTACAATTCTTAAATTATATCGAGAAATAACCCAAAAATAATTTACAGTACAGATTACGCGTGAAATTGAATTAACAATGTTTATGATACACGATAGAATCTACTATGATACTTTTTCGAAAAGGAAATCAAACCAAAACGCATAAATGCGTAATGGGAAATTCGTAATTGGAAATTCGTAATTGGAAATGCGTAAACAGCCGTCCCAGTAAGGGCATCATCGTTATAAATAGTGATTTTAGTTTGTAATGACAAACAATTTATTTCGGAATATGGAAATAAGAATCTTGGCCATTTCAAAGCAGGGACGTTGCATGCTTAAAACCCGTTTTTGTTGACATTGGGCTAACAATCTCAACGTGCCCCTTTTTCGTTTGTATTTAACGGTTATGAAAAATATTTCACAAATTTTGCACACTAGTATTATCTAATCTATATTTAATTTGAAATTGATTTATCTAAATTATGAAAATAGAAAATCTATCCATTGGGTGTTGACTTAAATGTACTCTGGGCAATGCTATTGCGCCCACGCAGTTCGCTGTAACAGTCCTTGCACACTCTGACTGGAACGAAAATGCTCAGTTGAGCAATCGGGTGTTTATCTTGGCTGCACCTGTGAAAAACAAAATGCATCAGATGGCATCCTGGCAAGACAGTGCAGTCATTAATGTAAAAGGCAACAGCATGCAGAAATAGCCCAAATCTTAGAAGTCCCAACTTAAAGAGGGTTAGCCACCTTAAAAGGGGAGGTCTATCTTGAAAGAGAAGACCGTCTTTGAAAGGAGAGGCTTATCTTGAAAGTGGAGACCCACCGTGAAAAGGAGAACCAATTTCAGAATATATCAGCATATATACATGATGTTGGTAAGCATCAGGTTTTTTTCAATGATCAGGCTCTTTTCAATGATCAGGTTTTTTTCAATGATCAGGCTCTTTTCAATGATCAGGCTCTTTTCAATGATCAGGCTCTTTTCAATGATCAGGCTCTTTTCAATGATCAGGCTCTTTTCAATGATCAGGCTCTTTTCAATGATCAGGCTCTTTTCAATGATCAGGCTCTTTTCAATGATCAGGTTTTTTTCAATGATCAGGCTCTTTTCAATGATCAGGCTCTTTTCAATGATCAGGTTTTTTTCAATGATCAGGCTCTTTTCAATGATCAGGCTCTTTTCAATGATCAGGCTCTTTTCAATGATCAGGTTTTTTTCAATGATCAGGCTCTTTTCAATGATCAGGTTTCTTTCAATGATCAATCGACATATCAGCAGCCCGAGAAGGTACCACACTCCAACTCCGTTTACAATATATCGATATCGTATTAGCACTGCTGGATATCCCCATTAAGCAGGGTATTAACAAACGATGCATAGGCTAACAATAAGAGGACCAAATGTATACATGTTGTATACAATGGAAAGGAATATATTTTTGTCAGAATGTTCTTTAAGTCGCATCAAAATACATTGTCAAATTTTTGGCGTAAAACCAATTAAACTCTGCTGATTTTACCTAAAAATCGTTTTATCTTTTTATAAAAAAAGTTCATTTTCAAACTTTTTCCTTTTTCCAATTAAACTTTGAGAAACAAAATGTTCCGTAAATTGTAAATGCATCGTTCTTCGTTGTTTTCTTTTTTGCTGTGAAGGTATGTATAATTAAAATTGTCACGTTAGAGCGGGGGTTATTCGAGGGTTGGGGCTAATTAACAATTTTTTCTTCCAGGATGGGTGACATTCGAAAGTGGGGCTTATCCAAGGGGGTTCGAGTATTTGAGACACAAAGACACAAGCATTCTGGACACATTTTACACCAAGATTAGCAAGAAAAAGAGGCACAATGCATACATTAGGGTGTCACCGTTCTGATTAGATCTCCACTGCCAATGAAACAAAATCTCCTGCGATCAATTCCCCTCTTAATCAGAAATAAAGAAAAAAACTCTCATATAGTTTTCCAAAGTTAAATAGTTTCCAGATTCAATCAATAGAAAAAAACGTCAGCCAGTCTTACTTTGCACAAAACACTCTGCCACATTTCCGACAGTGATGCCGCCTCTCCGCCAGAGAGAATTTGACGTCACAATTGCTGCACCTCTCTGCAACTTCATCTTTTACCCAATGATCGGCGATGGCTCCTAATGGGATCATAATAACGATTTTTGCTCAGAGCAAGTATGCAAAAATATATGTTCAAGCAACTTTGTGCAGGCAACTATTGAATCATCGGCTAAAGAATGATTGGGTGTTCTCAGCATTCATGATTGGGTGTTTTCAAACGTCACGGGCGTTTGGTCGTTCAACGCCCATTTTCTTTACCCTACCTGGCTAACATTCAGTTTCATTGACAATGAAAAATTCTCAATTCACTTTGGAGTAAACAAACGCAAGCCGATAAACTAAAATGTGAAAACGAGACTGAACTTACCAACAACGTCAGATACCGACCAACTGTAGATTCTACCACGCCCATCACCCACAAAAATCTTTCGATGGTCTCTGAAATCAAATGGCACAAAATTTGAAACAATTTGAGTATGTTAACTTGAGAAGAAGACAGCCAAGAATATTAGAGTTCTCAATTTAAAGAACTAGAAAGAGGGAGTGTATATGCATGAAGGTAATTGCTAAAGAGAGGAAGTTAAGAATGAAAAAAAGAAGGATAATGCTTACTTGGATATCGCCAGGGCAGTGACTGGAGCAGGTTCCCGGTTGTCCATTCTAGCAAACGCCGTATGCATAGTTAGCTTTCGCTCACGAAGGACCAGTTTCCGCTTCCAAACTAGAAGCAAACGTAGAAACGCATTTAAGGTACAAAACAACATTTGGCCTAAATTAACTTGCAAAGAAACAGGATATTAAGATCTATGTTGAAAATGGGAGAATTACGTCTAAGTGGGAGGATAGGTTGATGGGGTTCTTGTGTCTTCAAAGGGGGGTCAAACTTGGAGTAGCAATGTAACAACAGGGTCATTCCATGTCAAATTTAAGGTCAGTGTCACCCACCCTCTCAGATTTTGATGAATTTTACAATAAATATTCAGTCCCAGGAGAAACCACCTCACCCAAAATTTCAGCACAATAGGTTAAGGCGTTCCGGAGATACGGCCAGTCAAAAGTTGGCTCATTTTAGGGCGTGGTCCGCCCAAAATTTGTGCCAGCGATAAATAATAACATTCAAAGTCCTGTGAAAGTTTTTTTTATCACAATATTTACATCAAATTATCAACACAGTACATTCTGATAGTGCAGATTTCAAATATGACCACCAAAACATCAACAAAGCAAAGCTAGTTACTCAAAAAGTAGGTTAAAAGTTTATATTAGACTTCTTAGATTTTGTGACTAGCCAATTTGAATGTCATTTTTTGCAAAGTCTGCAAAATTTTCAAGAATTGAAAATAGTACCAGCTGAAAGCTCTTGAATTGGGCTTTTTAACCATATAAATATTATCATTTGTATATTCAGCATTACTGAGATTATTTTAGTTATAAAAGAGTAATAAAATTTGCGAAACTTGCCTCACAACCATTCTGTATGCCAAATGACTGGCAAAATATTTGTCAAAACATATAGCATTTTTTTCAAGAACAAATAGAAGTAGATGCCTAAGATGAAAACTATTACTAATCAACTTCACGATACCATCTCTTGAGAATGAGCTGAGGGTGATGAGCATTTGCTTTCACCATGAATGGAAACTGGGAGCAGACTTTGAAAGGAGATTTACAAAATGCTGCAATTTACTCAAGAATCACAAAAAAGTGTTAAAGGTGGTCATAAAATTTCCCTTGCACTGGCTAGACAGCTAAGAGCAAAAAAGTTTGTGTGTGTTCCAGGGTGGCAGCTTTGTCGAAATTGTTTAACAAAGTTAGAACATTTGGAGAAAGATAATGTAATGACTGAATCTCATGATAAAGAACCAATGGATTTTGGTGAAACTGACCTTGAATCATCCTTCAGCAGATTTGAATCTACAGAAGCTATCAATGAAAGTTTGGAGGTTTTGGGAGAATCACCAATAAAGCTGCACAGTGTACCCAAGCATCGTCGTCTTGCTTATGCCAACTCAAAGTTTGAAGCAACGGTTACTTCATTCAAGCAATCATTTGCTGCAGCCGTTGGAGTCCAAAAGGAGAAGATAATGGAGCCAGAGGCACCCCATTTAAGCCGAATTGTAATGACCAAAGCTAATGACTTTGATAAACTGATGGAATAGATTCGTGATAAATTGTCAACTGTTTCTTCCCGTGAGAAAGTCCAGCTACTCACACTTACACCAGAATCTTGGAGCATAAAGGAGGCATCTTCTTATTTTCAAGTATCTGAATATTTTGTAAAACGTGCCTGTGAACTTAAAACAGAGTAGGGTATCTTAGCTTGCCCAGGAAAAAAGAAGGGCAAAGAGCTTCCCAGCAGAACAATTGAGGTAGTAAATTCATTTTTTGAGGATGATGAATTTTCAAGAATTATGCCAGGGAAAAAAGATTTTGTGAGCATCAGTCATAACACTCACAAACAAAAACGCCTTCTTTTGTGCAACCTTAAGGAGTTATATGCAACCTTTGTGAGTCAACAGCCTGACATCAAAATTGGATTCTCAAAGTTCTGTTCCCTTCGTCCAAAATGGTGCATCACTGTTGATTCAAAGGGATCTCATTCTGTTTGCGTGTGTGTCACACATCAAAATGCAATTCTGCTTGTTGATGCTATAGATCTGGACAAAACCTACAAAGACTTAATTGACATGATAGTTTGTGATCGAGATAGCAAAACCTGCATGATACATAGGTGTGATGATTGCCCAGGTACACAGTATCTTCAAAATTTCCTAAGTGAAACTCTTACAAGTGCAGACGAGGAAATATCTTTCCATATATACAACTGTTTCTTCCCGTGAGAAAGTCCAGCTACTCACACTTACACCAGAATCTTGGAGCATAAAGGAGGCATCTTCTTATTTTCAAGTATCTGAATATTTTGTAAAACGTGCCCGTGAACTTAAAACAGAGTAGGGTATCTTAGCTTGCCCAGGAAAAAAGAAGGGCAAAGAGCTTCCCAGCAGAACAATTGAGGTAGTAAATTCATTTTTTGAGGATGATGAATTTTCAAGAATTATGCCAGGGAAAAAAGATTTTGTGAGCATCAGTCATAACACTCACAAACAAAAACGCCTTCTTTTGTGCAACCTTAAGGAGTTATATGCAACCTTTGTGAGTCAACAGCCTGACATCAAAATTGGATTCTCAAAGTTCTGTTCCCTTCGTCCAAAATGGTGCATCACTGTTGATTCAAAGGGATCTCATTCTGTTTGCGTGTGTGTCACACATCAAAATGCAATTCTGCTTGTTGATGCTATAGATCTGGACAAAACCTACAAAGACTTAATTGACATGATAGTTTGTGATCGAGATAGCAAAACCTGCATGATACATAGGTGTGATGATTGCCCAGGTACACAGTATCTTCAAAATTTCCTAAGTGAAACTCTTACAAGTGCAGACGAGGAAATATTTTTACAGCAATGGCAGAGTACTGATAGTACAAAACTTATAAGCCAGACTCTAGATTTAGAAAGTTTCATTGACCTGGTAGTAAAAACCATTGATAGATTGACCTCACATTCATATCTGGCAAAATGTCAAGCAAGGTATTTGAAGATTCGCAAAGAACAAATTGGAGAGGATACAGCTATTGCATTAGGTGATTTTGCAGAGAACTACAGTTTTGTGGTGCAAGATGAGGTCCAGTCTTACCACTGGAGCAAACCATGCTGTACCTTGCACCCACTTGTTGTATATTTCAAAGAAGATGAGACACTGATGCAGAACTCCTTCTGTATTTTATCAGATGATCTGGAACATGACACCAGCTTGGTATATCAGATTCAAAAAGAATTAACACAGGTCATCAAAACTAAATTGCCAAAAATATGCAAACTAGAATATTTTTCTGATGGTTGTGCTTCCCAAAACAAGAACTACAAAAATTTCTTGAACTTGACACTCCATCAGCAAGATTTTGGGTTATCTGCAAACTGGACATTCTTTGCATCAAGCCATGGCAAGTCCCCCTGCGATGGCATCGGAGGAGCAGTTAAGAGACTGACAGCTAGGGCAAGTTTACAAAGACCAATTTCATAACAGATTATAACTTCAAAGGATATGTCTCTCTTTTGCAGTGAAAATATAAATAACATCAGTTTCATTTTTATAACAAAAGAGGAAATGATGTCAGTCAGAGAGGGCTTGGAAGACCGTTTTGCCTTGGGATCAACAGTACCAGGAACAAGAAGCTTCCATTACTTTGAACCAATTGGTCCCTATGAGATTGCTTACAAGCGTACATCAGAAGATGACAGTTTTTCAGGAACCCACAATTTCAAAGGAGAAATATACAAAGCTCTAACCTTAAAGGATGTTCAAGAGAATGATTTTGTGGCATGCGTTTATGATAACAAGTGGTGGATTGGCATGGTTGAAGTGATAAACAAAGAAGAAAGAGATGCAAAAGTAAACATTTTTCATCCCTCAGGCCCAGCACAACCCTTTGTATGGCCAGCTAGAGCTGATGTTTGTTGCATTCCAGAAAATGATTTCTTGGTGAAGATTGATGCTCCAGTAACAGCAACTGGAAGGACATACAGCATAAAACATGCTGATTTAAACAACATTAACAAAACATTCCAGAAGTTTTTTAACATAAGAAATGGTATCTTGAAGTAAATGAGTAATAGTTTTCATCTTAGGCATCTACTTCTATATGTTTTTTAAAAGAAATACTATATGTTTTGACAAATATTTTGCCAGCCATTTGGCATACAGAATGGTTGTGAGGCAAGTTTCGCAAATTTTATTACTCTTATATAACTCAAATAATCTCAGTAATGCTGAATATACAAATGATAATATTTATATGGTTAAAAAGCCCAATTCAAGAGCTTTCAGCTGGTACTATTTTCAATTCTTAAAAATTTTGCAGACTTTGCAAAAAATGACATTCAAATTGGCTAGTCACAAAATCTAAGAAGTCTAATATAAACTTTTAACCTATTTTTTCAGTAACTAGCTTTGCTTTGTTGATGTTTTGGTGGTCATATTTGAAATCTGCACTATCAGAATGTACTGTGTTGATAATTTGATGTAAATATTGTGATAAAAAAACTTTCACAGGACTTTGAATGTTATTATTTATCGCTGGCACAAATTTTGGGCGGACCACGCCCTAAAATGAGCCAACTTTTGACTGGCCGTATCTCCGGAACGCCTTAACCTATTGTGCTGAAATTTTGGGTGAGGTGGTTTCCCCTGGGACTGAATCAATATTGTAAAATTCATCGAAATCTGAGAGGGTGGGTGACAATTCATGACTTTTATATAAAATTTGACATGGAATGACCCAACAGCTCAACAAAAAAACATATAATTATTCTTGTTTTTGTCACTAAAATTGTACGGCGAACCTTTGCAAGGAGAAGCGTCCTCCACAGCGTCTTTATGGTCAACTAGAATAAAACTCTCAGCTGACTTTTCTGATTCGGCTGAAGGCGAAAGTCTTCCTGTCTGGTCTCCTTCGCTGTTCACGAAAGAATTCGGAGACTGAGGGAGGTCATCCTCCTTCGCTATGTCCTCCTCTATCGACTGCGCAACCCGATGCGTCAAAGTCGCGGGTACCTTCATCCTTTGGTCTTCGAGCCTTTCCGTTTCACCATGAAACTGGATGCTCCACATCTAAAAGAATCACAAAACATCAATCAGACGTAGAATACCAGCAGCGAAGAAATCTAAATATTGTCATCTGCAATTCAATTTCACAAGTCTGTTAGCTTATCTTTGGCAAATGAGCACGACCCTAAATCACTACATAGATAAATTATTTTCCAAATCACTTGCCCGTCACACCAAGCAGCATGCTCTCTCCTTCGTTGTGAAAACGTTCAAACGAGGGAGACAGGCTTAACAAGCAAAAATGTGTTGAACGTAAACTTAAGTATTGACTATTATGGCAGAAATAAGATAAAAATAAGAACAGAAAATGATTGTGCGGCAATAGCTCAATATTACCTCGAAAGGCCATTGAAAAAAGATAGAAAACAAACTTAAGACAAACCAATGAAACAGTAATAATTTGAATTATTCTTTTAATTTCACATAACTTTGAAAATATCAACTAAATGCATGGCACAGAAATAAAATGAAATTCAAAACAGGGGCGTAAGGGGCAAAGTAACGAGGCAACAAAAATATGCCTGATAAGTTGATGGTGAAGCAACTTATCTGAACAATGCCAACTTACCTGAACAATGCCGTTCGCAGACCCAGTCACAATAACGTTGTTGTCGTCCCATTCATTCACCTGTAGCAAAAATAAAGAAGCCTTTTATGTCACCACTAATGATCTAATAGAAACTGGTTTTCCGAGAATGAAGGGAAAAAGACAGCGACAAACAAGTAGAATCAAAATCTCATCAAACGCGAAGCAAAGAAAGGAGGCGAAGAAACCCACCTCGGAGACAGCACAAGCAAGAATATGGCAATACACGTCGCTTGAGATATTTTCATGAAGGATTGGTATTCCATTTATCGACCACACATACAGCCATGTCGATGAACACGTCACAATGTCTCCCTGTTGATCAAAAGTGCATTGATTGACCAGTTCTTACATAAAGTGGTAAGTAAAGTGGTAAGTAAAGTGGTAAGTAAATAAACGGAGTTTAACGAATGACTCACCGTCAGGTTATTAATGACAACACAAGAAACTGTTCCTTGGTGCTCTGGCAGTTGTCTGATGAAGGAAAGCTTTCGCACATCCCAAATGATAGCGGTTTTATCCTTAAAGGAAAACATTAACAGAGTGAGAATAAAGCCTAAAACCACAAATAAATCATAAGTATAAAACAAGAAAAGTGAACTGTAATAGAAACTGCTAAAAGGATGGCAAGCTTCGTACCTCTGATCCAGTAACCATTATATTGTACGTCAGTGAGGTAGCTATGCTAGTAATGGCGGCTTTGTGTCCATACAGGGCCTTGAAAAACAAACGGTTATCTGTGTTTAGAAAAGGCAACAAGGAAATGCAAAATGGAAACGAAACATGAAAACGTGTATAAAACTTTGGCTTCACTAACCTTCGTTAACTTTAGTCGATGATTTCTCTCTTTGAATTTTTCGATTTTCCAAACACAAAGGGCCTTAAAAACAAAAAGACGTCGCCATTTCTACAACTTCTAACAAAAGGAACAAGTTAACATTAAAATGAGGCAAAAGGCATGGTCAGATACATAACTTCCAATTCTTTTGCGAGCAGATTGTGCACATAAACAACAGTTTTGATAATGATGAGTTGGGAATACAAGTGTGAGGGATTTTTGTTCATTCTTAAGACTTACCGTGCTTGTTCCCCCAGTTACAAACGCGCCATGATCCAGGGACGCGGCGCACAAAATCCGTCCAACAAAAACTTGCTCGAAAACATTTAGAATCTGAAAAAAACAAACATGAATAAGCTGGTGCTGTACCTTTCACTAAAAAAGCAATTAATAGAATAGAGTTTCTACTATAGAAATGCAAAGAAAGCCTTTGTCAGATTAACAATTAATTGCAAAATTTCTTCATTTTATCAGACTAACCATATCATTGCACACCAAACAATACACAACAAAACAATACAATACACAACAATACACAACAATACAATACAATACAATGCAATACAATACACAACAATACACAACAATACACAACAATATAATACAATACAATACAATACAATACAATACAATACAATACAATACAATACAATACAAAACGTTGTCTGTTACGATACGGTTCTGCTCATTCGTGAAATCTGAAATACATATATATCAAAGGGGGTTGATATAGTAGGACTGAGAAATCAAAAGACGTGGCATTTTGAGAGCCATGTCATTCAAAAGACATTTCATTCGACAGAGACATTCAACTTGCACAACAATCGATAACCGTGACGGTCAACATACCTTGTCGTCAGTGGAACAGTATCTAAGGCTAAAATCGGCATGTCCCCATGAGATGTATCGATTAAAATGAGGTGCAAGCAGAACCTATGGGTAACACTCAATTTGTTAGTCAAATCAAATTGCAAAAATTGATGTCTTAAGGCACACGTTGTTAGCTTGAGGTTGAATCTATCATCCCAGCTTAAAGTTTTCGATAAACGTTGTAAGGATTGCTAATGTTAGTAATGATACAAGATGCTCGTTTGAAGCTGAATTAATAATTTTTATGGCAAAAATAATAGCTATAACGTTAATCTAGCATTTGACCCACAAACCTTGTTGGCATCAACAGCAAAAAGACTTTTTTCAGTTGTAACAATTTGGCCGACAGCAGCACGCAATTCTGAAACAATAAATAAGGCATGCAAAATTGTTTAATTTAAACAATAAAGTGATAGGAAAATGAAAGTAAACATAATAACTTGACATCCATTCCTTCTTGCTAAGAACCTAAGCACTAAGTATCTTTCGAACTGCAACATGAAGTGTTTTACAAACAGAATCACGAAACAAAACAAAACCAAAGAGGCTTTTATGATGATGAAAAAGGGACGTGTGAGGATCACCTTTGACGGGCTGCACAGAAGGAACAAGGCTCGATAAGTTATTGAAAAATAGTCGATCATTCACGAGTGAGGTTTGTTGTTGGGGCAAAGTGCCTGTTTGAGATCCAAGATCTTGCACCTTAAGCGTCTTCTTGCATGGATGTGGCCTTTTGAATAGCTGAAAAGAAAGAACTGAACTTTAACCTAATAGGTCAGGGTAAACAAATTTATGGGGCTGTGCAGGCATATCTGTGCAGGCAGTCAAAGAGCGTTTAAAGTGCTAGTCATGGAATGAAAAGGTAACATGGAAATTATACAATGCTGAATGTATGGCAAATTCTGAAACTGAAATTGTTTCTATTACATCGATGAAATTTTAGGCATTCAAAATATATCAACCTTAAAGATAAAATGTTTCAATTTTTAAAATGATGCAAAGGTATCGTGGACAAAAATTGAGAAGAAATGGAAAAAATGTCAATGGCGATTTGAAATAATGACTTGATGGGCGTTCAATACAATCAGTTTGCTACCATGACATTATTAAGCAGAGAGAGTTTCACAATCAATTTCACTTTTACAAAACAAAATCTACTCAAAAAAATGACATGACCTGGCCACAGGTTCGAGTCCTGCCCTGACCTAGTCATTCGCTCCCAATTTCTGTAGGTGTATTTTACCAAATCTTGTTCTCCTAATGTTTCCTTCCAAATAAGGCCATATAAAATTGATTAGTTGATTCTTATCAAAATCGCGCCAAAACATCGGGCGGGCGGTGGTTTTATACTTCTCATCTTATATATGTATTAAAGCTATTTTGCTCTATATAAGGTCATAAACAGCTGTTTTGTCCTCCGGTTTTCCGTCCTAGCTTTTAAAAACCAAAATGAACGCCAATTGGCAATCAAAACATCATAATATTATTTAGAATTTAAAAACAGGGGTGCTGTGGAGGGGGCTTGGGGGCTCGGCCCCACCTTGTTGAAATTCAAAGAAATTTTTTTAAGGGGGCAGCCCTCCCGTAACTTGCGAAAACATGTTTGGTAGGGCAAATTCTGTGTTGGCAACCCTTTATTATGCCAAAAATTGTGCGTGAATGAGCAGTTTTGTATCCGACTTTTGTATTTGACGAATAGTTTGAGCAATTTCATATACACAACAAAGTTCTGCAACATTTATTACAAATGAAAGTACAGCAAAAGCTCTAACCTCCCCACTTTTGCTAATTTGGTTGCTAATTTAGAAAAGGGGACTACTTTAGAAAAGTTAAAGGCAATCGACACAGATAGAAGTGGCTTACAGCCACTAGACCCCCATGTGTTGACCAATTGAATTACGCTCAGAGAAAAACATGTGAACAATTCCCGCCATTCTGCCAATCGGCGAGACGCTAGAGTTGTTTCACGTGAGTGGTTTCGAAATTCCTTCCAAACGCGCGTGCTCTGATCGAGTTATTTTTGGATTCGCTGTACTTATGCATGTCAAATGCCTTTAATATGATTAAGCAATTTTTTTGGTTTATATTTCTGTAATTGCAACATTAAATCTCGATCATAAAAATAGCATAATAATTTTAAAATTATGCCTTCTTCATGATTTGAGTCCATCAGCAAATCAGGGAATGGAGCCGCCTCCTGCCCTTTGAGACCAACACATTAATTCTTACAAGATCTGTTGTACCTAACGCACATGATTTGATCATCCTTAGAACCATCATAATAGATATTAAAATATGAATATGATTATTTATGCCTAGTTATTGCATTTATTTCACGTCACTTCAGGTGTACGAGATCGGGGGGATTAACAAGAGGAGGTGGCGTATTGCAGAAATATCATACTTGAGAGGGGGGGGGCTAAATATCACATTGGAAAAGGGAGATCAATTAAAAGGGGGCTAAATAGAGCTTATACAAAAGATTTGACTTGGGCATGGCTATGGCAACGGGTGTAGCTTATAGAAGTTGCCTGTATCACGGCCCCTTTCTCCTAGGACAAAACCCCTGTGTAAGAATAAGGTTAGTTCTTCAGCAAGTAGACTGTAGTACGACGTTGCACCAATTTCTTTCCACTATCTTTGCAAAAAACACAGCAGGGATAATGTCGCAGTTAGTTTCCACACTATTATGTGATCCACAAAATATGCAGATTTCTTTATATTTCGCGCTGTAGTACAAGACTTCTATACAGATTGAAAATCATCAACATCTTATTAGTTGCTTTCGTTTAGGCAAGATTTCAGTCTTTGGCATTTTGCGTAAGATCAGAGAAAAAAAGCCGCTCTTCACCTCCCTTAGAGGTATGCTTTGCCTTATAGCAAATTGGAGAAGAATTGATTATCAAATTCTCTTAAAATAAGTAATACTAAATATAAGATTTTTTTAACTTTCCACAAATCAAAGACAGGCGGTACTTTTGTACGAAAATATTAAATATAAAATCAAGGCGTCACCAAAATAAGGTTCGGGCGCATATGAGAATCAACTAAGTAATTTAAATGGTCTAAAATAGAATAAAAATCATTTTCACCTGTTTAGGCATTTGGCCAAAATTGTTGATGACTGCAATGGCTGACTTCTTTTCCAAGGGGTCTTTAATCTGACTCAAATCTACAGCCCCGGCATAAAACATGTGGTAGAATACATTGTGAGCCTCGATTGACGCATCGCCTTGCTGTCGATATCCGAAAATGAGGTCGATCCATTCGTGCAAATGAGCACTGACAATATCACATTCCAAGGCCTTTTTTAAAATGGATCGTGAAAATTGTGAGTTGCGAGGAAAATGAAAAAACGAAACGTAGCACAATTTAACGCTACCAGCTTATCAATCCATCAGTATACCAATATATCACGTGACCTAAAATCATCTCCAAACGAAACATGTAGAAATTCCTGAACACGATCATCGATCAAAATTGATACAACAAAAAAATCTTCAAATCTGCTCTGACAAACCTTATCTAAATATCTAGCCAACCATATGAACCAACATAGATTATGAATAGTTAAAACGCTTACTATTCCCTGCGAAAGCAAAGAGCACGCACCTTTCGATGTAGTCTTATGAACTCCCTTGCATCATTTTTCGCCCATGCAGGAAGGACAACGTCTCCAAGCAGGTCTCCATTTTGTTTCTTCCCTAGGTCAAACTTGTTTTGGTTTTCCAGGAACTCAGGCAAATAGAAAAATTCTGGTATAAGCTCCTTCACATCTGCCATTGTATGCTCCGAGGCCGACAGCCACGATTCTTTGATGCTGTGAAATAGACGATCTGGTAGATCGAAATGACCGCCCTGAAAAAAAGGGTTCAGAATGATGGATTGGAATCATGTATTGCAAATCAATCGGCCATTAAAGATGGATCAAAATGGATCGGGCTAACGGCAATATTACCGGCGAACAATTAACTGACTGGAAAGCTACAGTACCTGAAGTTGAAGAAACTGTTCCGTGAATGGCTCAAGTCGAATCAAATATGAAGCAACGATCATTGCTGATGAATAGTGTGTTCCGTAGTAATAAGGAGGGGTCTTGTCTGCAATGAAATGAAAAGGCGTTAAAATCGAATAGAAAAATATAAGCAAAAGAGCTATGTATTGAATGCGTTTGGCATTGTGCAAAGGGCCTAGGTCCGTCTAGCAGCGAGCCATGCTCTAATTATTAGTTATGATCATAAAGTCAGATAAAAGGAGGCCTTTAAATATAGCTAAGGTACACGCCAATAGTTACAAAACACAGCTTAATATTGGTCACAATAACTTACTCGACAATGGCAATAAGGAAAAGTGTGAAACGGGCAAAGTTGTGCCAAAGGACAGCAACATTTTAATTTCTACAAGACCTTCTTTGCTTCTTTTAATTTATGCACGCGCTGACTATCGTTTACCTCTAACATTTTGTTGCTTTGTTTATTACTTTGTTGGTAAATATTCTCGTACCCAGTCTCCATAACTATATATCCTGTGCACACGTTTTTGGGTGGTATACGGGTATATTGTTGGAGTAAAGTGACGAAAAGTTCAAAGACACGGAGGGCGTTCCTCCAAATCGGAAGACTGTGGCGGCACGTGCAAATATAGTTGGTCATGCTTTGCAAATATAGTTATGGAGGCAAATAAATTATAAGTTATTTATTGTTCTTAACTATACTATTTTTCGTTTTTCATAGACGTTCGTTTTGTTCAGTTTATTATACTACTTTAATTTGTTCGTGTATTGCATACTTTGCCTAACCTATTTCATATTGACTATCTGCTTTTTCTTTTATCAACTGCTAATTTGTATTTTAATTTTTTGTAGCAAACCATGTTCTGAGTTTAATCAAACTGCGTTGATTTTTCGCGTTTCCTGGTGAGACTCAGGACTTTCACCACGTTTGGTGCCACAATAAGCACTTAGCCTAGAAAAAACTCACTCTGGGGGTCTTCCCAGCTCCTGTATCGTTCTTCAAACTGTCTTAACCGGTGCTCCGTTTGTGCGCCCATTGGCTTTGAAAGGTCTCTGAAGGTCGCTTCGTTCGTCAAATCAAGCTCCTTGAAAATTAAAAAAATCATTCATTCAGTTTATTTTTGTGGCAATGAAATAAACAGTGAGAAATTACTGGGATGCACACAATAATTAGGCTTTACTTAATAAGTCAAGGTTTTTTAGAGAATTCAGACAAATTCACAGAGTACCTCACTATCATAATCTGCGATAATCCATGGGAATATTGGATATTGCATGAGGTCATTGTAGGAGCGACCCGCCAAAGTGTTGAGGTACATCAGGTACTGGAAGTTGCTCAGCTCGCCACGCTATGATGACAGAATAGACAGAATGTAACAAGAAAGAGCAACCGTAACACGCAACAGCATAACGCAACAGCATAACGCAACAGCATCAATAAAACACTTCTTTAAACTAATGAATCACGAAAGAAGGCCAACTAAGACAGTTCTCTGAATGATGTCTAGCGCACGTACCTCCCATCGTTGCGTGACGTGCTTTTCGCCAATCAAACCACCAAAGAACCCGTATCTAAGAGAGAAAATTAAAGAATCAATATATTGAAGAAATTTACACCTTTGCTACAAAGTAATTGAATAACGAGTAAGTAAAGCTCATCTTGAGAGTTATTCGACATACCCGGATTCGACATCTGCATCAGCGCGCATGCCAGCAATTGAATTTTCAGGGCTTGATAACTGAGAGGATGCACCACGTGTTAACCTACGGAGGAGCAGAAAACAATCGCATGTAATTGACGTCACTTTCAGGAAACAATAAATTAGATCAAAACGAGACAGGGTATCGGTAACAAAGCAAGTTAAAGCCTTTTTTATTCTTCTTACCGTAAATACACCTTGTCTCTAGCAATTTTCTTTGGGAAAACAAGCAAGTGATTATTTCCATCATTTGAAAACATTTCCATCGCAATGTTCTGTAGAAAAAGATAATTCATTAGACTGGGCTTCAAGACACTGAGCTCTATGAAAGACTGGATCGAGCTTCTTATTGTTTGACCCACGTGAGAACCGAGGCCCGCTAAATTTGATTAGGCTCTAGAACCGTAGGACCCACCCTTCCTCGCGAAACACCGAAAAGTACCGACATGAGAGCTAAACGGGGTACACAATGTTAAAAACTCCTTTTTAAAAACTACCTACCTCTATCACAGAATAGAAGTGACATTTCTATTCTGCGCCTCTATCTCCAATTGGCCAACTTTTCAATAAAGCAGAACATACAGCGCATCGGACGCAGCGTGTAGCACCAAAATTAACATTTTTGATCATATCGAACGTTGGGAAATTTCTATAGTTACAATTCTGTCTGTTTTTCATTCTAAATTTACATCCAATAACGTAACTTGGAAATTTGAACTTCTGACGTTATTGGTAATTTTATGTAGGCCCACACTCAACGATGGATCCCGCGCGGACAAGCAACATTGACCTCAGTCTGAAACGGCAGAAGCTCGATCGAGTCTTATAGAGATCAGTGGCTTAAGACCATTCCTTAATCGCTAATGCTTTCATCTCCATGGAAATGAAACATGCAGCCTTCAAAAACATTCACTTCAAACATAAACAACTAAAACATTTCCAAAGCGAGATATTCACAAGTGAAAAAAGATTTCTTTATGTTGCTCAATTTAATCATGCGAACTTTGCTCAAAGAAAACATTATCAACCCAGAAACATTTAAATTTGTCATCTTGAAATACAAACATTGTTAGGAAATCATCCATACTAAATATCTGGTGACGCAATCATAAACAGTCGAACGATCAAACGCTGGTCTTGGAACAAATCCTGTCCGCAGTAGTGTGCTCGCAGAAACAAAAGCTTTCTGGTTTTGAATGACTTTTGATTTAATCGTATCATTGCTCATCTATGTGTTATAGAGCGACATGCGGTTACCTGCTGCAAATATCGACGTTTATGAACTTCTTTCATATCATCGTAGGACCATTTTGAAAAGCTAAAATGGAAATGAAAGAGTTTTACTCCACCTAATACTGCATTAAATACACTATAAACGAACTCAATAGGCTAAATCAAACAGGAACTTGATGGCATAACCGAATTAATGAAAAGAAAAGAAAAGAGCTTACGATCTTTCCATAGTGGTGTTGCCTTTTGCAACTGGAATCAGCGGCTCATGAGTTCTGAAATGAAAAACAAAAGCTGGAATATTGGCACATGAACACGAGAAAAAAAGAGTCCATAGAACTTAAGCCACTGTAGAGAATATTCACCGTAGCGATGGGGATACTCTTTCGGCTTTCGCATTGATTGGCAAGGAAAGTATGTAGAAATATTATTACAAGAAACAGGACATGGAAGAAAGCAAGTCGATGCAATGACTGCATTGCCACTGAGATGAATATAAAGCATTTATTCTTTGCTGTCATAAGTAAGAAAAAAATTACAGCGACGTTCATTGTGTAGCGTTTTGCCAATTGCTTATGCAGAGAACAGTTCCATCTCATTTCACAGCTTTATTTAGCAATCGTGTCTCTTTCTTATTGGCTTGATTTGGACAAAAACGTTCTTAAAAACTTATCTTTCTTCAATTTGGAATCATGTTGATAATAACATTAACAACAAAAAATTTTACCGCAGCTGTTTGAAACAAAAAATTGAGCCAGGGTTGATTTATCGTTTGCACAGGTGAATAAAAATGCAGAAAGTTGTGTTGAAACACTTATTTGAATTAACTACTTCACTCTCTTATTGGACTTATAATTTAATAAAAATCAAGGGGAACTGAGAACGGTTTGGTTGTGTCCCTACAGAAATCTTAATGTATCTATATCCTGTTGGGTTGGTTCTGCTTCTTTGACCACTTTCTAACTAGCTAGGGCCTAGACACTGCCGCCTTAGGTTGGATTGCTTGTTTTGCCCAACTGTAGACTAACTGATGGCAATAGCTCACGGAAAAACAAAGAAAAAGAAACTCTGTTCAGTTTCACTTAAAACTTTGAATGAAGATGAAATATGAAGAAGATTCCTTGTTTGATTTGGTACAGAGAGGAGTAATATCATAATCAAATACCCTTCTGGCAAAGAATCAATGTCCCTGATGTCACCAGTGCCTTTGTTTCCTTCTGTCGTCAGCAAGGTAAAGCCATCGATGACGTAAAAGTGACTCCGACCAAACAGGAAAAGTCCTTCGGAGCTGTCCAGGCCACGCAGCCGTGCGCAGCGGTACATGGAGTAAATCTAAATGAACCAGAGTCTGAGAATTAACGATTTGTCTGTCTGAACATAAGAGAACTTCATATTCAAAACGTTTTTTGAATTTCGCTCCACTTTGACATTAAAAGCAATAAAAGAGCAGAATGTAGCATTGAAATCAACATGCGGCTTTAAACCTTTCAAAGCTTACCTTTTCGCCAGTTTCCAGCAGTTGCACAATTGTCTGACTATTCACCTACGATGTGACAGTTGTACCCAATTAAACCGAATTCTTCAGCAAATGTTGTAATCTAATCACAGTAATCTTTTCTCACAATTAAAAAAGAAAATTTGGCTTGGGCTAGTTTAAAGAGAATAAAGCAACAGGATACCTGTACATCCGGTGTTTCTCCTTCCAGACCTTCTATGGTGCATTGCGTAGGGCTCCACGTAAACGACTGTGATCTACCTACAAATAAATATCGTTTTCTTTGGTCAATACAAGCCATAAGCTCTGTTTCCCAGCAATTGTTTAAAGTTTACAGTCAAAGCTTTCAGTCAAAGCTTTCAGTCAAAGATTTCAATCAAAAATATGGTCATTGATACATTTAGAAACAAACAGACTTTCGTCTTTCACTAGACATTCCACACAATAATTTCCCTCGATTAGGCTCGGTGCCTGTACAAGTTAAATGATGCTTACAGCTATTTTGAAACGAACTGGAATTGTATCCATAGGCAATTTAAAGTTTTTCATCAACGTTATGCGAACGGGAATAGAACTGGTTTGTAAGGAATACCTCTTGTCTCTCCTAGATCATTCTCCAAATACTTCTGACAAATGTTGTAAAGTAATTTGCTATCATGGCTGTAGGCGGCTCTGTTCTTGGATACCTTGAAAAAAGGCTGATTGAATAAGGATGTATGCAGAAGCACAAGTAGCAACGCAAGCGAAACATAGTTAGCAATTGTATATAAACAGCAGTGATGCCAACGGCGTAAGTAACAAAATAAAAAAAATGCAGGAAACAACTTAAGGTAAAAACGTGAAGATCATTGACAGCAGCTCAAAAGGTAACGAACAACATAAACAGCGAAATAACCAACCAAGTTACATCTAAGACAAGTTGACATGTAACAGTGTTTAAGAAATTACTTGAAAAAGACGAAACACAAAAGGCCTACCTGTTCCTTCAAATTGCCATCTCTGTACGGATACACGGAATAGAAGTGTTCATGTCTGCACATCAGCTTCCTCATGCGTCGCGGACCTGATGTATCAAAACCAATTATTAAGTTCAGCATCAATCATGATATGAGAAATACGAAAGGTCAGTAGTTACAAAAATAGCCACAAGCGTACTTGTAAAAGAAAAAACCCATCAGAAATCAACAGACACTTTATAACAATTAAAAGACAAAAACATTATGTGTGACTGATTAGCTCTTCAGTATGCGCATGGCTGAAATTTCTCCGCTCTGTTGCATAAATCAAAATGACTGAGGTTTTGTTATGATAATTACATTATTTGATTAAAAATCCGAGAAGTATTTTCCAGGGCTTGAAAAAAGATTTTTCTTCCTGGCAGCAAAATAAAAAATTCAAGATTTTCTGGGAAGCTTCAAAAAAAATTTCAGTCACTGAAAGTGATATTTTAAGTTGCTTGATTTGTTTTCCAACAGCAATCATTTTGTTTATGCTGTATTAGATGATCAAGGAGAACGTGATCGAGCACAATACTCATAGTTTGTTTTCAAGGATAAAGTTAGTGGATCTGAAAATCTAAAAAATAACTTTGATTTAATTTAAAATCAGTGCTAGCAAACTAGATACTATTGAAGTATTGATGCATCCTACATCTTGCTCTGGGTTTCATGTTTGCTGCTCATTTTTATCATCATTTAGTAGTTCATACAACATGTAAGAATACTTTTTTATTTTTTAATAGTTAAAATCAGGGGTGGTGCTAGAGGCAAAGATGTAATCCCAGACGCTTACATTCTTTAATGCTAGCGATGAAAAATGTATGCGAATGCCAGTATGAAGAATAATGGACATATCTACACAAGTTTTGGGGCACCTTCAATACAATTGACGTAACAGGACTGGCTGTCTTTAAATGTTTTCACTTATTTTGAAAGATAATCTTCCCTTTTTGTTAGTAATGCAGAACAAAAATTATGCAGTGTGTATGTATAGAACAAGAAAACAGCATTCTGTAAAAAGAGAGTAACATAAATTCATAATATAATTTTCATAATAAAATGGAGATTTCACTCTGAAAATGTCCTGGCAAACAGCAACAATTTCCTGCAATTGATTTGCGCAACCGCTGCCCGCGCTGCCGAACATTTTCCAGCCCTGGTATTTTCTCACGTTCCTGTTGCATTTAGTGATATGGCAAAATAGTGTATTGCATTGCATTGCATTGCATTGCGTTGTATTGTATTGTATTGTATTGTATTGTATTGTATTGTATTGATTGTATTGCATTGTGTTGCAATATACTGTATTTTGTTGCATTGTATTGTATTGTTTTGTATTGTATTTCATTCATTTAGCCGCATTCATAAACTATTCGAAATCGGGCGAAATAAAGTAAACCATACCCTCGGTTAGGTCAAGTTTCCACTTGGTCAGCGGGTTCGCTTCCTCTGGTCCCCAGATCCCTCTTTCTCGCAGTAACTCTTTCTCCATAGCATACCAGCTCTTTTCAGCGGACTGGCCACTCAGCGAGTTCTCCTAAATGCACAACAACAATTAAAGAGCATACAGTTTCAATCAAATTATGATAATTATTGCTAAATATTATAATCCCTTTATTTGCGATGATTGCAGTAAAAGTTGTATTGCTAAGGGAAACGATGGCTAAGGACAGCCTTGGCTAAGGGGAACGATGGCTAATGACAGCCTTGGGTAATAGGAACGATGGCTAAGGACAGCCTTGGCTAAGGGGAACGACGGCTAAGGACAGCCTTGG